CATTGAAACGACATGAGAACTCTCAGACTCACATTATTTCAAAAGTGCAACTTGTTATGTTCGGGAAATCTCGAATTGACTGTGAACTTGACAATTGAAAGGCCCTGACGATACTACAGCATAATGAAAATGTGATAGAAAATAGAGGAATAATGAAACGCTTGATTGATATCATCTGCCATTTAGGAAAGAGGCAACTTGCCCTCGGTGGTCATGATGAAAGCATGGATTCTATCAACTGAGGTAATTATGTGGGATTAGTTCACTTGTTGATGAAATATGGTCATAAACTCAATGTTCACCTTGAGAACAGTACAGTATTTACAGGTTTATCAAACAGAATACAAAATGACCTCATTGACTCAATAAGTGATGTAGTTCTAACAGAAATTAAAAGGGAAGTAAGCTCAGCCCCTTTTGTTGCTGTAATTGTTGATGAGAGGACTGACATTCGAAGCTATCAATTGTGTTAAGATATGCAACTAGTGATGGTGAAATACAAGAATGATGTTTAGGATTTTTAGATGTGAGTGTTGATTGAACTGCATCGGTGTTAGCTGAATGCTTTATAGACTGTAGTTTAGTATGGTTTTGGCAGCAAAATAGTGGCACAAACGTATGATGGGGCAGCGTTCATGTCAGGTGAACTTAATGGGCTTCAAACTAAAGTGAGAGACACGTTTCCAAATGCCGTGTTCATACACTGTATGGTACATAAGCTTAATCTTGCACTTTCAGTCTGTCTCCAGTATTAAAGAGTGCAATGTGTTTTTCAAAACACTGAACAGCATTTCTTCCTTTTTCTCTGCATCTTCTAAAAGGACACATTATTTGGATTAAGAAGTGAAAAACAGGTTTCCAAAAGTCACACCAACCAAGTGGAACTATAACAGTCTTCTAGTAGAGACAGTATACAAGTACAAATTTGAATTGAACACCATGTTCCAAAATATAATTGAAGATCCAGATAACGTACTTTGCTGAAGTGACCGAAGGAAAAGAATATGTAGCCAAGAAAAGAGAAAACTTCAAGAACATATTCTCCAAATGTCCTCAAATTAAGAAATTGATGGACCCGAGAACAAAGGATTGCATCTTGACAATGTAGGAGATGTAAAAAAATGCATCAGAAAATTTTATTATGAAATTTTTGATAATGTTATGAATCGAATTGAATTAAGGTTTCAGAACTTAGAAAAGCTAAAATTTCTTGAATTAATAAATCCTAGTTGCAGTAAGGTGTGTGAAAAGACATTTTCTGAAATTCCCTTTTCGTCACTGAAAATGGCGTATGGACAGCACTTAAATTTTCCTTGTTTAAGAAGTGAACTAAGTGTATTTTATTTTAATGAAGATTTAAACATCCAGAATGCAAGTCAGCTTTTGCTACATCTAAAAACTACAAACATCAACAGTGCACTACACCAGCTGATGGTTGAACGTTCGTTTTTTGCAATGAAGAGAATTAAGACTTATGCGAGGAACTCTCAAGGGGAAGGTAGAATGTCCAGGCTGTCTAGTTGTCCATAGAGAAGAAATTATTGGAAAAAATTCACAACAATGAAGACTTCTACGACCATGTTATCAATAATTTTGCTGCTTAAGACCAGAGAATAGATTTGGTCTTCAAATAAATTTTGGTGAGTTGATTGCTATCAGTTCGTTTATTAGATACCACTGCTTGCCTTACTAAAAATATTACCGCACGCCACTGGGGAATGCCTTTTCTAACTGCAGTGGCAATCCCGCCTTTTCTACCCGAGTGGCAGTCGGTTCAATAGAAGTGGTAATTTGAAATAGGGAAACTCTCATAAGGTTTTAGATATCTCTCTGAGAACAGGGCTACATCAATATATAGGTCTTGCAGCTGTTTATTGATCTCATAGCACTGCCTCACAATGCCATTTGCATTAAATACTACTCTGAAGGATCTAGTAAGTATAATGGCCATTTTGGTCCCCGAGAATTAATACAGGCCTTGTAATTGCCAGTATTTTCTCCTCCTCGGACACAGCACTGTAGAACTCTGTCATGAAATGCTGCATTACAGTTACTACTGCTTTGAATATTTTGTACGGAGGCAACCTGTTTACATTAGGGTCCGAACTGGCCTATTTTCCGGTGTTCGTGTTGGGGTAAGGGCACAGGGACCCTGGGTTCCATTATGGTGGCACCTGATGTGTGTGAGGCCGCTGCTGTTTGTCTATCCTGCCTTGGAGCGCCACCAGGATACACCTGGAGTTGTGAGGTTGGAGGAGAATACCCTTCCTGCTGTAGTCCTGGGTGTCCTCTGCGACTTCTTTTCTGCAGCTCCTCCTTCGCATGTCTGCAGCCATGATAAGTGGTGGGATGGGGTTTCTCCCCTTCCGCCAACTGGCAGTTGCAGCATGTTGAGGTGGAAGATGTATTTCCTTTCTCAGTGCACTCCTTGTGCATATGTCCACCCCCACGCCGCAAGCAGCAGGGAGGCTGCTTGCAGTTTGCCCAGACGTGGCCGAACTACTGGCAGCTATGGCACTGCATAACACCATTCTGAGATCAATATGCCTCCACCTTGATTGCGATGTGACAGAGGCTTGGCAGTCGGAAAATTTCTTGGGATTTTGCCGTCCTCAACAAGGTTATTAGGACAAGGGAAAGGTTTATGGTTTTTAATCCCTTTGTAGGTGACCGATGGGTGGCTCTCATCTGCTTGACACTAATAATGTCAAAATCAAGGCTCATCAGTCTGTCAGATATGTCTTCTGCAGGGATGTTGTGTGGCAGGTGGTGTATCACCACCTTCTTGGATTTTTTGGATTTTGGAAGATCTGAGATGTCCTTTTCATGCTCAGTACAGGTATATACCCTCAGCATGGTACTCACAGAAAACAGTGCTCCCAACATTTCCTCAGTTCTTGCATATCGTGTTGTTTACTGGCTGTTGCATATAAATAGCTCTGTTTAGTAAAGTCATCACTTTTACTGTGTTGTAATATAGCAATGCAAAATTTCTTTAATTTATGGTGTTACAGTATTGTACGTATAATGATGCGTGTTTTGTTTATGCTGGATATTTGTCATTGCTGGGGTACTGAAATCCAAGTTTCAGATGGTTGGACAATTGAACTGCATGGAGGATTCACAAAATAAATGCGGAATTTTGGTGAGAAAATCTTAAGAAAAACAGCCAATCTGAAGACAGAAGAGGGGGGGGGGGTGTTATATTGTAAGAGATCATGGAAATAAGCAGCAACACTCAGATTCTCACTCAGGCAGGCGGTCATATTTTCTATTTATAACAAGTATAACTATAATTCATAATTACGGGTTTCTGAAGTTTCTGCCATGATGCAGAAACCAATTTTCACAAGTTCTCTTTAAACTGTTACTGATAATTACGCACAATGTGACAGGAATAACCTTCTGTTATTAGCATTATGTCAACCTAACAGGAGTGGACTGTGACTAGGTGTATTGTCATGTCATGGAAAGAGGAAGGAACCTCTCATCTAGAAAATACAAGGTGCGGCAATAAAGAAACCGGATTACTTTTATGACTCATTTCTGGCCACAAAGTTTCATTCACGCGCATCGGTTAGTCCAGCCACGACCATTGTTAGAAGCGGATTGTGTGTGAGCTCCTTCGGAATAATGCTGAGTGCTAATGTAGAACAATGTGTTAACTTCAAATTCCTCGCAAAACTTGGAAAATTTGCCACTGAAACTTACAATTTGTTGACAGAAGTATATGGTGATCAGTGTCTATCTTGCATGCAAGTTTTCGAGTGGTTTAGGAAGTTTAAAAAGGGTAGGAAAAACGTCGGGAACGATCCAAAATCGGGTTGTCCTTCCACTGCGAAAACTCCAGAGAATGTGGAGAAGGTCACTAGACTTGTTCGAAGAGATTGTCGACTGAGCATTCGAGCAATTTCTGAACTTACCAACATCAATAAGGAAAGTGTTAGACAGATTTTGCATGATGATCTGGGCATGAAAAAGATGTGTGCTAAAGTGGTGCCAAAAATCCTTACCCCCCAGCAAAAGGTACATCAAGTGAATTGCTGTGTTGACACTCTTGAAAACATCGAAAATGATCCTGATTTCTTCCAAAACGTAATTACGTGTGACGAAACTTGGATTCTTCAATATGATCCAGAGACTAAGCGACAATCCATGCATTGGAAGAGCCCCAAATCCCCTAGGAAGAAGAAAGCGCGCATGAGCAAGTCCAAATTCAAAGCAATGATGATTGTTTTTTTCGATATCCGGGGGGTAATCTACATTGATTGGGTGCCTGAAGGTCAGACTGTCAATCAGGTTTATTATAAAAATGTTTTGACGACCCTCCGTGAATGTGTTTGACGAAGGAGACCAGATGTGTGGAAGAATGCCTCATGGGTTCTTCATCATCAGCACACATCGCGCTACCTGTGAAGAGGTATTTGGCAAAAAACAACATTCCAATGATGGAACGTCCACCGTATTCTCCGGACCTAGCACCGTGCGACTTTTTTCTCTTCCCGAAAATCAAGTCTGCGCTCAAAGGGAGTCTGTGGATGCAGTGAAAGCAAAAGCAACGCAAATCTTGAAGAGCATAACACAAGATGACCTGCAGCACTGCTTCCAACAGTGGAAAATTCGCATGGAGCGGTGTAGGGATCGGGGAGGGGACTACATTGAAGGGGATAACATTTCGATTGTCTGATTTTTTTTCAATAAAGGGTTAGAGCATGAATCCGGTTTCTTTATTGCCACACCTTGTACATGTGTTTAAATAACCTTCTGAGACCAGTGGCTGAACCCAAGCTGACTGAAGTCACAACACCGTAGGTACTGTGGACAGTTCTCAACCACAAAATTCCTTGCTACTCTATGTAAATACAGTGCCTGGCTAATGCTGTCTTTTAATGCATGTCATGGCAGGTATGTTTGTGAAGAGCTGCATAATTTGCTTTTTTGTGTCCATTACTGTCAGAGTTCTTATTTTAATAATTTATGGTTATCGTTGTACATATAAGGTGATGAAGAGCAAACAGAGACTCAGCTGCGAAACGCAACTCACCATATCCATTCAGCTCATTCACTCTTCCCATCTTGCCTCTGCTCAGCAATTATTCAGATCATCAACCTTCTCGATGATGCAGCAGTTTCACCAGATGGCAATGCTGTTTATGAAGTGGCTTATCAGGTATGTTATAATACTCATAATAGTATTTATATAGTTTCTCAAGTTCACAGATATTATAAAAGTTAGCTGTTCTTAAACACCACCTTTAAACTAGTACTTGTGCACACATACAATGTATAACATCTCTAGATGTACAAGATATTCCTATGCTCAACAATCCAGCAATAGCAATCCATAAATTATATATTCATGTAGTGTTATATTTTAGCATCCCGTTGCACTGATTCATGTCCATGATGTATATTTCTGCTAACCGTCTTACAGTGCACACAATTTCACCTTTCTCTTGTACAATGCATGCAGTCACAAGAGAAGGGGACAACACAGAGCACAATATACGCATGAATGTAGGAAGAATGCTCCCATAGAGGAGGATTGGTGTGACTCGCATATTTGAGATACGACGTATGGATGACGAATCCTGAAAGGTTTTAGTATTTAGAATTTGTTGTTGTTATACATGACGAATACTCATTTTAGTCATTTTATGATGGAGACGTGATGGCATGCAGTGCAGTAGTTGACGTGGATAGACACACACCTGAAGATGGCACATTAGTGCCGAAACAGGTAGTGTAAAAGTGAAGAGAAAGGTGAAATTGTGTGCACTGTAAGACGGTTAGCAAAAATAAACATCATGGATATTCATGTAGCATGAAGAAATTGACTGTTTTTGGTATTTTCTAACAAGCAGAACTTACGTTTCCAAGTTGGGATCAACTTGACTTATACAAAACATTATTTGTTGTGCTGTTGTGTGGGGGCCTCCTAAAGTGAAGCAAGTGCTAGCCATTCAGTGTGAGCCACTTCATGATTTTCACTGACCACAAGCCCAGCACTTCTGTCATCCAGCAGAAGCAGGACCAGTGCTCACCTCAGTAATTTAATCATCTGCACCATGTAGCCCAATTTAATACTGACATACAACACATCTCTGAATAGGACAAAGTTGTCACCAATGCCCTTTCTCATATTGAGTCCATCACTGCGCCACACAGGAAAGTGACAACAAGCTCCAAATACTCCTGGGGTCAACCACCACCCTGTGGTTTGAGGAACTACCAATCCCAGGTACCACAGTTTCCATCTGTTGTGACACATCTGCTGGGACATCTCAACCATATGTTCCAGCTCTCCTACAGCTCCAAGTGTTCCAGTCTATCCATGGTCTGTTGCACCCTGGCAGCAAAGCAGTGGCGAAGCTGGTCACAGAGCGTTTTGTGTGGCCAGGCGTGCAGAAGAATTGCCACACCTGGGCATGAGCTTGCCAGTCTTGCCAGTGCTCCAAAGTCTCCCACCACACAGTCACTCCAGTGGGTGACTTTACACCACTGGCAGCCCATTTTGTGCACGTGCACATTGACCTTGTGGGACCCCTTGCAACATCAGCAGTCTACAAATACTGCCTCACTGCAGTCAACCATTTCACCTGCTGGCCAGAAGCCATCCCCATCCCAACAGCTGACTCTGTGGCACGTGCCCTACTGATTGGCTGGATATCCCATTTCAGTTGCCCACAGACCATCACCACTGACCAGGGATGTCAGTTTCACTCTCACTTTTCGAATCCATTGACAGGATCTGTGACATTCAGGTCTCATGGATGACTGCCCACCACCCCACAGCTAACAGACTCGTGGAACGCTTCCACGGGACACTGAAGGCAGCCATCATGTACCACGTAGACCAACAGTGTACAGAGATGCTTTCCCTGGTTCTCCTCAGAATCTGCACAGCATTCAAAGGGGACCTTCAGGTATCAGTAACTGAGCTCATGTATGGCAAACCCCTAAGAATCCCCAGCGAGATACTGACTCTGACTGTCTACCCAGTGAATCCAGACCAGTTCCAGCAGCACACCACGCCTCCTCAGCTACATTTGTGCATGATCTTGAGAGGTGTATGCAGGTCTTCCTCTAGCAGGACAGAACTTGCCAGGCTTTGCAGGGCCCCTACAGCAGCTCCTACCAGGTCCTGTCATGGAGAGAGAAAACACTGCTACATCTGGTGCATGGCAGGTCTGTCACTGTGTCAACTAATAGGATCCTCAATGGGTCTGACTGCAGGACCAACACCTTCAGCCCCACAGTCATCTCAACCCCAGTGGTAGTACCACCTGCCACACCACCACAGCCCACCACATGAACTACGTACATGTTCAGATCCCCACAGCCATTTCCCCACTAACTTCAACATCTGAGCAGCCATCTCCATGGAGAGGGGGCTGGTGATGTGGGAGCCTCCACCACATGCTGGAAGGCACAGGTGAGGTGCTTGTAGTTGATGAACATGATGAAGTGGTGTGCACTGATTGGCTAGTGTTTGCACCACTTTGGGAACCTTCCACCATTGCTAAGACTTTCAATAACGAATATTTGAATTTTTAAATTTTGTTTGTGCTACAATATAAATTACTGAAATACATTTTTCTTTTTGAGGCTTTTAATGAATATTAAAGAGATTACTACTACTACTACTACTACTACTACTACTACTACTACTACTCTACTACTGCTGCTGCTGCCGCTGCCGCTGCCACCTGCTTACAATTCAGCTTGCTTGAATTTAATTTTTTCATTCAAAAAGTTTGTTTCATATTTGTTATTATCATTGTCCATTCTAAAGTGAGTATGAATATATGTATAAGGGGTGGGCCTTCATATCCCTTGCACCATGATGACAGTGATCTATTGTGCCTTCCAAAGCGAGTAAGTTATGATGTAGGCTGCACCATAGTACAAGCGGCTAGTTGCTCGCTTCCCACTGCGGCGGCCCAGGTGTGGTCAACTGGGATTTGTGGTGGACAAAGTGGCACTGGGGCAGGTTTTCTCCAAGTACTTCGATTTCCCCTGCCAATCTTCATTCCACCAATTGCTCCACAATCACCCTCACCTATCATCTGGGGCTGGTACAGTAGGCCAGAAGTGGCCTATATAATTTAGATCCTGCAGTTCTGCAGTGATAATTTGGAAATGGAAGTAAATATCTGTGATGCAGAATGATATTTGAAGTTCCTGTGGCAGTGAAGACTTAAGAGTTCAGCCTTCTGAGATGTGATGCTGTGTAGTCAGGCAGATAGTTACACCCAATCCCATCATTTCTCTTCCTATATAACATACTATTTTTTTCCCTCTTGACATTCTTCAAACCTGAATATGGAGGCAGCAGATTCTTCAAAAATGTTGATAACGCTCTGCCAGACTACATAGCATCATGGCACAGAAGACTGTACTCTCTGATGCAAGAAGTCTTGGCTCACATTAAGTCTGTATAGCCTCTGTTGCCTGCCAACAACTTTCTTAACTCATTCCAGTATTACATATATGGGTTGAGTATTACCCACATTTTCCCTTGTATTATGCCTGCCCACATTTCCAAATCCAAAAGCGTATTCCAGTCTTTGTCTCTCAGTGTCACATTTTGTCTCATTTGATTCTCAGGCCAATAATTTTGAAGGAATTAACTTACATTGGAACTACTGTTATATCTAACTTTATGGAGCTGAGCCCTTCTTGAGAAGCTGCCATTTCTGCAGCTGTTCAGGAACTTCCCAAAATTTTATGATACCCAAATTCTCATTGCTGGGTTCACAAGAGCCCTACACTGGTCCGTACCCTTATCTAGACCAATTCATTCCACATCACCCAATCCTATCTAAGATCCAGTTTAATATTATGGCATGCTGCCTAAAAGCTGGAACAGTTGAGTGAGATCACAGTTGATTTCCTAGGCAACGAGCATAAACAAAGCACGTTACCACAACAGTGGCTTACCGTGGGTCTACTATATGTGCACTTCCATGGAAACACTCAGCCAGACATATAAGTTATGGCAGAACTGGAGGTGTTTTTGTGGTAACGCAAATATAGGCAGGAGGTTACCATGGAAACGAAATACTGTACTGTTCTTGGCGGTGTCTGCTATTTGGTACGCCAAGAACCTACCTCAGGGAGATTACATCAGATATAAGGAGACCAGATCAGAACAGAGAAAACCAGACCAGAGATCAGATGAGATCATGGACTAGTCAGGTCACATCATCTGGAGGAAGTTACTTCAGAATGATTGTAGTTGTAATTGTAAACAGCTTCGTCAAAGCCAGAATCCACAATTATTTGCCACGGAACATGACACATGACCCACATATGTCTTGGGCTCCCTAGTGGCCTGTTTCCTTATGGCTGTACCATCAATAGCCTATATGCATTCAAATTCTTCCCATTTGTGCTACATGCCCTGCCCTTCTCATCATTATTGACTTCATTGTAATTATACTTGGCGAAGACTACAAGTTATGAAGCTCCTTATTATGCAGTTTTCTCCAACCTCCTTTCTCCTCATCCTTCTTTGATCCAATTATTCTCCTTGTCATTGTTCTCAAACATCCTCAGTTTATGTTGTTCTCTAAATTTCAGAGACCAAGTTACTGCCATACACAACTGCAGGCAAAATTATAGTTTTGTATATTCTAATTATTTTTATACAGCAGACAAGAAGACAAAATGTTCTGGACTAAAGGGTAACAAGCAGTTATTCTAATTCAATCATCTTAATTTCCTCCTGAATCACATTTTGATTTTCTGCTGTAATTCCCAAAAATTTGAACTGTGCCACAGTTTCAAAGGATCTTTTCACTATCTTTATGTCATGATTTTGCCATGCATTCTGTTTAGCAAACAGCAACATAAAGTCAATTTTCACTGCATTTACTTCTACATCATCCTTCTTACTAGTGTCATTTAAAGTTTCTATGTGTTTCTTTTTGGTATTGTCATGTATTGGGTGGTATGTGTGACAAAAATGACGGGTTATAGTTCGGATGATGGGATTTATTAGCACCTTGGTTACAATCTCTCATAATCACATTTCATTACAGCGCTATCGCTGGTTCCACACTTTATAAATCACTGTTACACACACACACACACACACAAGTCCTCTCCTGGCAATGCAATTGAGACCCAGGAACATGAGTAAAGTCTTCTACACACGCACGCAGTCTCCACACGACAAACTTTCCATGGTGATCTTCCATCGAGAACTCAACTGAACTGTCAGGTGAAAGAAAGTCATATTGCAGCTGACAATCAGTCCATCAGTCATGGTGTGGAGCCCCATCTGGGGCTCATCACCAGATATTTATTACTGTTTGACAGTTACAGTCTTGTTACTGAGGGGCGCCCTCTCTGAAGAGAGGATTGGCCTGTCTTTAGTCAGAGTCATTGTCTGCAGTAGTAAGTCACTTGCCATAATGTAAAAGATGTTTACATTTTACATGTTAAACATGTTGAAAATGTATATACAGTATATACAGGGCCACTGTCCGTCCAGGCTCAGTACAGCAGATTTTGTCCTATTTCTAGTAGCTTCCACTACAACAGCAGTCTTCTCTATTGAATGGTCATATGCTTGACTGCCGCCAAGTTTAAGCCCCCTATACTTTCTGTTTCAGGCTTTACCTTGTCCAATACTGCAAACTTTCTCATTATCATGATCTTGTATGACTTCTGCTTGTTGCCTGCATAATTTTGTTATATAATGTTATATGTATGGAATTTTGAAAGCCATGTGTAAATCATGGACCGATGTGTGCCTTGGAAAATTGCCAATGAAGTGGAGAACCTTGTTTTGCAGGTTCTGCAATTTCATTAGATGTGTATCTGCTGTGAATTCCCAGGATAATTTTTTATAGTACAATGTGCAGTTTATTTTGCATTAGGAAACATGTATGTCAGGATGTTGAATGTGTGAGGGAAACATCAGTATGCAGGAGAAATTATCATAAACATTTAAATCTTCAAGTATGGTTTATGACAGTCTACAATTGCAAGGAAAGGATCTATGGAGTTCAGGGAACACTGTTCTAAAGAGTAATTACCACATCCTCACAGCAGTCAAGAGCCACCACTGTGTTAACTGTTAATGCCATCAGAGTGATATTTTCATCTGTTGATGTTCCAAAGGAAATGTGAAGGAATTAAACATAGAAAAACCATGTTTAAATGACAGTCTTCAGATCACTCTTAAGTTACACACTCAGTGACAAAATGGTGAAAAGAAAGATATCTCTCGGAATGATTAATATTATATTCATTTCATACTATAGGTAATTTGGAGTTGCCTGGTGGAAGATAGTGCCCTCTTCTTGCGTTATGTCCTGGAGAGACTCACACGGGACAAACAAGAACTGATGTTCAAAATCCTTCGCCACTTGATTCGATTTGTACCCAAACTCCCACAACAAGCAGCATTTGCTCTTTATAATTATATAATTGGCTATGTGATGTTCTATGTGAGATCACCTCAGGAGGATGGCCACAAACTTATAGGGACTGCTCTCTCTATTCTCTGGATGGTAAGTCAGTGTATTTTACATTTTATTAACCATTCTGGATACATATCATTCTAATGGGAAGGTGGAAAAATTGTGTTAACAGAGGTTTGAAATTCTAGAAGAAACTCGTTAAGAATCATCTTGCTTTTTGTGGAAGGGTGGAAAAAATTATTCCTGCTGCACTGAGCATAAATGAAATGTGTTGTGTCAGAGTTTTTCAATGCTTACCACTGTGAAGAATATGCAAGTAATTCAGTCATTTGTGCATTCAGTTATCACATTTCTTTGTGATTATTTCTAGTAATGAACTATAGGTTCCTTTCATGTTTAGGTAGTGCACAGTGTGCATGGAATAATGTTCAAAGACTTGAAACAGATTCTGAGGAAGGAACAATGTGATGCATCAATTCTACTTACCGCAAATGTGCCATCAGCTAAGAAAATCATTGTTCATGGGCCACAAGGTAAGAAAAAGTTTAAGTCCAGATTCAGGGTTATGTGAGTGTGAAATTAATACTTGCACTGCTTGTGGATCAGAGAACTCAGCAGTTCTTGTCTAGTTCAGCAGACCCCAGGAGGCTTAGCATTGCATTCTTTATGATATAAATCCCATTGTTAAATTTGAATCTGCCTCCCAACACTGTAGTTGCAGGATATTGAAATCTGGATGTAGATCAATGGAGACAAGAATGTAAAGACATTTTAGAACAAGACAAAAATTACCATATATGCAGTTTATTTTCTTGTACTGATTACACACTGTTAGAACCCACATTTCATCCACATTGGGCCATCTTCAAGGGGTGTACCATATTAAAGGGAAACTAAAGTTCAGATACATGAAAATAAAATATTGAAAATATGTCATAAAGTTCTTGTAAAATACTAGTATTAATGAAATATTAAAATTCACATATATTAGCCATAGTTATTGCAGATCAGTTGATTATGACATGTAATGCTTTGTTTTTTTGTTGTTGTCATCTCGTACTCCTTTTGTCAGGAGCAAAGAAAGAGGATGTCTGTTTTGAAACAGAAGAACCCCATCTCTTCAAATTAAAAGCAGATTAAGTATAGTTAATGCTTGCTACCATCCAGTTTAGATTTCATCTGCTGTCTAAACACCTAAAAACTAATTGTGCCTGTAGTTTTGTATGGGTGTGAAACTTGGTGGGGTCTTTGACACTAGGGAAAGAACGTAGACTAATGGTGTTCGAGAACATGGTGCCGAGAAGATTTGGCCCAAAGAGGGATGAAGTGGTGGAGATTGAAGAAAACTGCATAATAAAGAGTTCCATAACTTTATCTCCTTGTGAAGTCTAATTAGCATAATGAAATCGTTGAATGGGCAGGGAATGTAGCACACATTGAGGAGAAGAGGAATGCATATAGGTTTTTGGTGGGAGCACCAGAAGGAAATAAGACTACTAGGAAGATCTAAGCATAGCTGCGAGGATAACAAAGATCGAAACCTAAGTGACCTACACTTTAACAGCAATTGGAGCACAGGTTTGGTCACCAGAGCTGATGCAGTAGATGGAGAGTGTTATGCTGTGCCAATACTGTGACTTGACGCAGGGCTACTCACTCAAGGATGTTTCTTGTAGTGAGTGGATATGATTTAAGGAGGGTTAAGTGCATGACAAAACAGCATATATTTTTTGTAGATATTTCTTCTAAAAAAGAACTTGTTCAAGCCAAGTGTACAGCTTCGTACAGAGCCTATATAACAATAAAAATTGTATCCTGAAATTTTTTAACGATTTGCCAGAAACATGTTCCAATACTGATAAAATGAAATGATGCGCAAAACATCATCTCACAGAACAGATCTGAGGATGTTCTAATGAGAATGGGGGGCTATGGCAAGAATGTGGAATATAGAAAAGTTCAGTTGTAAGAGGTCTCAAGAGCTCTTGTGTGTTTTATCTCTACAGAGTGTTAGTGGTCCAGAAGTTGCTTACTGCAGATTTAGTTTTGTGCATAAACTTTTATAATTGGATGTTACAATCTGCCCATGAGGGAATTATCAATTCAGTGTTTATCTTTGTGAACAGTGAATCTTTATTTTAGCTGCTTTGTGAATTCCCAGAACACCCATAACTGGAACGTCTCACATGATACCAAAAAGGGGGTGTATGGTGCAAGGTTAGTGGTTGGAGAATAATTGGGCCTATATGTTCTTACAGCGTGGTGAACTTGGAGCATTATGCAAACAATATATTGGAAAAATTCGTTTAAATGCTCACTGAAGAAAAAAAAGATATGTGTATAAAAATGTAACAGCCCACACATCACAACATTCTAGAGGACCCCTTCATGATTTTTTGTGAAAGGTAATTAGCTGGTGACTGTGGCCACCTCATATGGCAGATTTGATTGTATGCCATTTGTATATGTGGCAAAAATTTGAAGCAAAAAGCGCAAAAGAAAAATCTAGGTACTCTTTAGAGGCCCTTCTGAATGAAATTGGGAGTGTATTATGGTGAGCTGCAGCAAGGGTCCCATACTTGTGCTGGAGCCAGATGTGTTTTAATGTGCATGGACACCGCTTTCGGCACTTCTGTAAAGTGTAGGTCAGTAAGACAAAAGTCTTGCCACAACGTTAATCAGGAAGTTGTGCTTACATCTTCATATAATACTCCCCAGCTTGTGCTTTGGTTCTGTCTGGCAAAAGCTGTGCTCCAAGTCCAGTTAAAATACAGGTTACTTAGGTTTGAACCTCATTGTAATAAAATGGATCTTAGAGAAATAGGATGAGGTGGTATGAACAGTATTCATCTGGCTCAGGAGAGGGGCCAGTGTTTGGATTTTGTGGAAACGGTAATGAACTTTTGGGTTCCATGATATGTTGGGAGGTTCTTGAGTAGCTGGGTGACTGTTGGGTTTTCAAGGATACGAATCCATGGAGATAGTTACTTAGATGGTAATTTATATCTTCTTCTAAAATGGACAGCATGTCAGGAAAATTAGCCCAGTCAAAGAATGAAAAGACATGATTGTTTAAAACACCACCAGAGCATACTATTCTTCTTCTAGACATTTCAAATTCTGCATAGTCTTCATGTCACACATCTTATTACCCTTTTCCCTGTGTTCCTGTAAGCCATTCACCTTCTGTTTCAAGCCATTCCTTCTCTTTAACACGTCCTTTTCATTTGTCATTCTGTGAAGGGAGTCAGGAAATAGGTCACAAATGGAAATAAAACAACTGTAATGTATGTAATAGCTTTTCTATATCACTAGGTGACATCACAGTCCAGCTTCATAACAGTAACCTGTTTGCTGACACTCCCTTGTGTACATCTCATACCCTTTGCTCTTATTTCCAGTGTTGCATATGACAGTTTTGTTCTTCCATCACTGTTACCTGTGTAACCATTACAGTTTCCTTTTTTGTTATTTCCAGCAGATTCCCCTTAAATAATTTGTGCATTTTTCACTCTAAATTTTTTATACTTAAACAATTAAATTTCTACAAAATATCATATTTCTATTTCCATGTTCCACATCCTTATTTGTACAATAATATGGGATAAATTTTTTTAAGTGACGCAAATATATCCATCAGTTTCATATCTTATAATCAGATCTTCTAATCCATACCCATGGCTTCTAAAGCTGTACCTAATCATAGATAAAATGAAGAGATTCTGTTTAGACAGATAAGTGTTAATGATATAAAGAAATTTTTCACTTATCAAATACATTTAAGGTTGTCACTTTCTTGTTGGAAGAATGACTTTAGAAATCTTTTGGTAACAATGCCTATATGATAAGACTGTGTTCCTGTTGCAGCTGCGTGAAAGAGTATACAACTGTGGTGGAAATATGGTGTTAGCAATAGCACGATAGTAGTTTATTGCATGACCTTGGAGATGACAACACATGCAGCATTGTCACATTGCTCAATCCTTAAACAGAGGATCCAAATCCGTTACTGTAAAAGGGCAACACAAACTTTACAAATTTTATAAAAGCTGCTGGAAGAGACCCTTTTCTTTTTTCTAGCATCACATCAATTGCATAAACAAGTTTAACAGTACTCAGTGAAGTACATCCTTTGAAACTAGTAACAGTTGCATGTGTTATTCTATTCTAGAGAGGTTTGGTGGTGCAAGGGTTTTTTTTATACGTTATTCCATTAAAGTTACCCAGGTTAGCGCAGTTGGTACAGTGACTGACTACAGGCGGGATGATAAAGGAATCAAAGTTGAAGCCACGCAAGGGTTAAGACTCTTCACCAAGTTGTCCAAACTGGTTCTGGGGCCCACCGATCCTCCTATCCAATGGGTACTGGGGGCTCTTTCTCTGGGTATAAAGCGGCATGGGTGTGAAGCTAACCACTCACCTCCATCTAGAGCTGAGAGCAGGAAAACATGGGTCTATATAGCCGCTCCCCATACTCCTTCATGGCGTAGTGCTTAATTAGTTAAGAAAGGAGAAAAACTTACTTTTTTCTTCCTCAGACATAATGATCACAATAACTAAGATCACATGATCTGGGTGGCTAGAATATGTGCACTAGCATTTATCTTGCTGGAAATATCAATATTGTTTTTCAGCTGATGACTGATGGAAGAAGCAGTACACTAATGCACTGCTCTGAATTCATTCGTGGTTTGCTGAAGAAATGTTTGGAATATGTTAAATTGCATGAGGATTTTCTTCACTCTTTATTAATATATTTTGCATAGTGACATGACTACTGAGGTAAATTCACACATCATCTCTTACAAACAGCAGCCCTGGCTCCTTGACATTCTTATATATATATTTTATAGCAATCAGTCAGAGAACTGAATTATTTCTACATAGTCTGCTTGTTCAAGCTCATGTACAACTGTTAGTCCATATGAGCAAAATGTAATTAGTCTTGAGACTGTGAACACAGATCCAAGAGTAACTCCCATTTATTGTTCTGGCATCCTAATGACTTAGAGTGATTTTTAACTCCTCTTTTCTTCAGTCAGCACTCTCCTTTTGAATCATCTTTTTGTCACAGATTTAATCCCTGGTTTCCCACATTTTAACAAGATTTGGCCTGAACTACTTTGTGGCAACTATTTTTTTGATGTTATATTATGACCACAGGTCAGTCGGCCAGTCTTTCTTGGTGTCAAGCCCTCATGTAGGGTCCAAGGTTAGAGTTTTATTACTGTCAGGCAGTATGTGGAGTGCTCCTTGTGACAGGAGGATGGATCTGTCATTTACAACTGCTGATGATCCTTTCTAGTGCAGTCAGTTTTGGGTCCAAGAACCTGCAGGAATCATGACCATATTTTACTGTCTCAGATTTGAGACTCCCCAAGCCTGGAGAGTGAGGTCCCCGTATTTATATCCTCTGGGCACTGTGTTCCATTTTTATCGCCTCCTACAACTTTCAGGTCTATGATGAAGATATGGGAACCCGCTTCCACATGAATTTCATCTTTGATTTAAAGACAAAATCGAAGCAATGTTACAACCAATGGTCATTCGGCCAGTCTGTCTTGGTGTTGAGCCCCATCTGGGGCCCAAGATCAGCTTCTTGTTTCTTTCTAACATTTGTTGCTTTGTTGATGTGAATTGCCCACTCTGATGACAGGACAGGTCTGTCATTTACAACCGCTGATGGCTCTCACTAGCACAGTGAATTTCAGGTTTGAGTACCTGTATATATATCCTGCAGGAACAGTGTGGCCCAGTTATACCCCCAGGCACCGAGTTCCCTTTTTGTCACGTCCTATGACTCTCAGGGTTTTGATGGAGGTATTCAAATCCGTCTCCACATGGGTTTTGCCTCCAATTGAAAGTCAAAGTTGCAGTTCATGTTATGACTGACAATCAGTTGGCCAGTCTGTCTTGGTGTCAAGCCCCATCTGGGGCCCAAGACCAGCGTTTCGTTACTTTCAGGCAGTTGTAGATTTGTTGATGTGGGGCACCCCTTTTGACGAGAGGACGGGTCTTTCATTTACAGCTGCTGCTAGCCTTTATACCACCTATGAAATCTAGCAACCGGTTTGCTTCATGAGTTTTAATACAGTTTTTGTGATGGCCATTATTCTGTCTTCTTCTAATTCGGCCCCACTGAGCTCTGTCATGATCTCCTGAAATACTACTGCAACTCTTTTTAACATGTTGGTTGTGCCTCAAAGGGAAGGGGAACTCATTCTCTGCTGGTGCAGGCCTGTGCAACTGAAGGCGGGTGTGACTGCTGGTCTCGTTGTGTTGCTGTATAGCACCGCCATGAAGGATAGTTCTGGGGTTGTGTGGCTGGAAGACAACACCCTTCCAATTCTAGTCTTGGGCACTCTCTGCAACTTTCTCTTCCACATTTCTTCTTTGGAGTGCATGCGCCTCAACAGTTGGAGGAATGAGGTTCCTCTCCACCCATCAATTTGCAGTTGCAGCATTTCGGTATCAATGCCGTATTACCCTTTTGTGGGCAGTTCTTGTGCAGGTAGCCATCCCTGCTTCACGTACAACGAGGATGAGAGAGAGAGAAAGAGAGAGTTACTTTACGACTGGCGGTTTACCGCAAAACAATTCATCTTGGCATCAGGCCCCTTGAGGACCACGACCAGAGATTTTTTCTAACTGAACTCTTGCAGTAATAGTCCTTATGTAACATCCTCTCTGATGAGAAAATGGGTTTGTCTCTTGAATATGCTTGGCCTTTCGTCAAGTGTATATTTTGCACATACGTATATAGCATGTTATCGAAAATTCTTCCTTTTGCACTACACACAAGTCCTTTGTCAGTACAGGCTTTATAGAGCAGATCATGCCTAACTTACATATCTTATGCTACAACGAAAACTTAGTCATTTGAACGGTCATAAGCTTGACCACCGCCAAGTTTAAGCCTGTTGTATTTTCTATGTAGGCTTCACCTTATCCTATACCGCTAACATATTCATTCTCATGATTTTGTATGAGTTCTGCTTGTCGTCTGCACAATTTTGTTATATAATCATATACATACAGAAAGTTGAAAGCTGTGTGCAAGTCGTAGACTGGTATGCACTTCAGCAAATTTTCAATGGTGTGCAAAACTTTGTTTTCCATGTGCTGCAATTTTACAACAGGGATGAACTCTGTCGGTCAAGTGATATAGCCTCGGAGCGGACAACATAGAAAACACCACTTCAAACAGTATTTTCATTGTTGCACGTGGACTACTGCCTAGCGACGGCCGTTGTCTCTTTGTTTCGCAGATGTTGCCTAAGAAGGGGGACTATATGCCACAATATGCTCTACCAGGCTTCTTTATAGATTGTGCTCAGCATAAATTTAACCCTTAGAATTGCTATTTTTTTTTGGACTTTGTCCATCATCGGGTATCTTAAAAAACTAGACAGCAAGTTTGGGAAATTGAATCTGTTCCTGTTCTCAGGTGAGGGGGAAGCACCTACTCAACGATTACAGCACTTGAGCATGAACACAACCACAACTAACACATATACACCACTAGTATAGCTGGCTGCCAGATTCTTGCACCATCCAACCCAAATACCAAACAGTTTCTCTGGTGATCTTACCAATGCCTTCCCTAAAAATCATCTGGGCAATAAACGACTCCAAAACTCTTGCACGAAACACATGGCAATCAACATGGCGGTTATCTGTAGCTAATTAAAGAAAATCACGCATATACAAAATCACTCAAAGATTAAATGCATATAAGCTCACAAGTGCTGAAAATAATCACCAGTATACTAATTACAGTAAGCAGATGCCTATCCTAGGGAACACACGAAGTACATACCTCCATAAAATGCTCCGAAGATACACAACATATGCACAAGCTTGTTGACCCAAATCCCACAAACACTAAATTTGGCCTGCACACATATGCATTTGTGCACACTCACACACAAACACAAACACAGCCAGGGTTCTCTGCTAGACATTTTGCACTGTCTACACCAAATTTTGCACCAAAAATCCAGCACAACACCAACCTGAATTTAGTATCAGTATCAGTGCCCTTTACACCACAACAACATCCCCTTGTGTGAGCACCAGCCCACACCTGTGAAAAGTTGCGCCAACAAGGAGCAAAAAAGGAGGGGAAGCCCGGGAAGGTGTAACCTGTGAACAATGCAGGGAACAAGGCAGTAGCTTGTGACATACAGATGACAGCATACAAAAGTTAGCGAAGGTAGGGGTGATGACCAATTGACTGTGAGCCTAAGGGAGGAACAGCTCAAGCTGTGAGGCACCTGTTAGAAGATATTGTTTAGTTATGTAATTGTTTGATGTACATGATGTGAGTTCTGATGTTGCAAGAGGAAATTTTATTCAAAGCTGTGTTATTGTTAGGAGCACTACAGTTCATGTTGAGTCAGATTATATTTAGAATTATTGCTTTTAATTTCATTTATTGTAGAAGGTGAATTTGAATTTACTGTAGCTTACAGAATTAGTTTAATTAGAATTAGTCTCACTTTCAGATGTAGCGATTTTCTACATGCAATGAAAGATTGAGCAAGAATTACTGCATTGTACAGAAAAATTGCTGGCACAAATTAAGGATGTGTTGTAATTCCCATAGAACAAGACGCGGGAGGCATTCCATCACAGTTCCCAGTACAAGAGGACACCCAATTCTGCCAGATTCTAAGGGAATCACTGGATTTCTTTGGCATTGAAGAATCAAGACATAAAGAATTTTTCCTTGTAGATCACAAAACTCGTAAGTAATGTTTAATGAGTTACTATGTTTTTATTTAATTACTTAACAATTTATCCTTATTCTATGAATTTGTTATATATGTCATGCTCATAGAAATTGTGGACTTCAGTTTTTATTCATATGTGACAGAATTCTTTAATAGGACTACATCATGTTATAATGTCAGTGCTAGTATACTAAATATCATAATTCAGTGATGTGTCATTTCAGTAAGCTCTGTGGAATCCAAATAATTTGATCAGATGAATTTCGTTGCAATGAATGCAGGGGAAATATATATCAAATTCTATAAATTTTATCACAAGGCATATTCATTTATTGAATTTAACACATCTCCCTTACATACATCATGGAGTTTCAGATTACTTTAATGTATGTGACCTGAAATAAACTTTATGTTGCACTAAAATCTTTCTTCTATTTTACAGAAGAAAGGAATGAATGGGGAGGTAAAAATTATACAGTCTCTCTTTGAAATGAGACCACAGTATAAGAATATTTACATATGACACAAAAGAGGAGACTAAAAAAAATAACTATATTATTCTGATAGTGATTTTATTTCATTGGAAGCCATCAGTCACTGCTGATAATATAAGGTCCATTCTAATTCCTGACTGTGACTTCTGTACATTTCAAAGTCTGATTTATAATGCCTGCCAAGACAACAGATTTGTAGTCAGACTAGAGACTTTTTGGGCAATATCCATCATCCTCTTTGTCTTCAGATTAAAAAAAACAGGGTGATGGATACTGTTAAAAAATTCAGTAATTGTATTACTCGTAATATTCAACCTTCACATACTTTTAGATCTTATTTATGGTGGTTCAATTAAGATGTTGCTTGCAAGAGCACATTTGTATTTTACTGTATGTCTATAGAAGCAATAGTGCAGACGTTTTCCCTGCATGTAGCACTAACTCTATCTGCATAAACAAAAATTTGTTACTGCTTACTGTGAAAGTGAGACACAGACTTAATATATTTATAAGAACTGCTGAAAGTGACCTCCTTCTGCCTTCAAGCATGTCTCACAGCATGTAAAATAGTTCTGTGGTCCATTCTGAACTTCAGAAGGAATTCATTTTTGCTTTCACTTAGTGATCTGCATGCATAATTTACTGAAAGGATTCAGGCCAGTAATTCACAATGCACTTGCAAGCACACATCACTGCTTTTACATTGTGCAGTGGCAGTTGTTGAATGACATGAGGATTATCTGCATCCTATATTCATACTGTCACATCTCTGAGTGACTATAAACAGGGTTTGGATTGGTGATCAGATTTATTGACCACTTATACACACAACTCGTAACTACAACTAACTATAACAACCTCCCTGGTTTACCCACTCTAAAGAGTGTGAGTCTTCTATGTCTTCACTAGTCGTTTTCTGACAGTGTATCCTAACAGTGCCCTCTGCTAACATCCTTACTGGCTGGTGAATATCCCACAACTGGCTCATTGCTCCAGCTGACTCCCAGGCTGGTGGCCAGCTCAACCAACTGTCTACTCTTCTCTTCACTGACAGTTAGGTTCTCCTGCTTATAATCCCTCGGTATGGACTGCATAGAAATGCTCCTTATTTTTGTAGTTCATTTGTTGCCATGGGAACATGTTTGTCTGCTAAGCTGTTACTCAGCAATGGTTCTTGTATATTTGCTTATCTCATAGCCATTGCCCAGCAAAGGGTCTACATGCTACATTGCTTTCTGCATACTGACATTAGCATTAAGTTAAAGCCTTACTGACTGTAAATAGCTGCTGTGGATCAATGACTATGTCATTCACATTTTCAAAAGTGAATTTTTTACTGCATAATCTGGTTCCTTATGTTATGTTGATTCATACTGTCATGTGACTGAAATTCAATTAATCTTGTAACTGCAAGCATAGATTCCAATGAGACTCCAGTTCCTTTTAAAAACTTTCTTAACTTCAATCTTTAACATTGCCTGACTGCTGTTAACTTTTTATTCAGTCAGCACATTTCTCTTGCAGGGTTTATTTCTGTCACAATTTGAACACATGATCAACCACATTTTGAAGATTTTCAGTACACATGACATTGTGGGTACTTGTTTTTATAGGTATTACAAATGAACCACTGAATGCTCTTACTGTAAGTTTTCATTCTTATGTAAAGTAAAGTAAAGTAAATTGAACTGAAAGTAAAGCTGTCCCTGTGCTCAAGTGAACACCATGCCATGAAATAATATGGTTCAGTCAAAACGTGATTTCACCTGTGCTTAACCTTGGCTCTAGATAGAGGTGATATGTAAGCTACAGCTTTACCCTCAGGGAAAGAAATCCTTGTACCCATTGGATATGAGGCTGGGCAGTCTTCAGAGCTGATCTGAAAGCTTTGGAAAGAGTAAAAGTCTCTTGCCTTTGCTGGGAATCACCTAAATTGCATAGTAATTCAGCCCATAGCCTCTTTATGAATAATTTGTGTTCAGTCATATACCTAATGGCAAGTGTAATGGAATTCCAACCTGAAGGCAAATGATTGGAGCCAGAAGAACCTTTGAGCACTACTGTACTGTTCACATAGTTTTTTGACTGTACAAATGACTTGCTGTCACATCAAAGAGTTACACATTGAGCGCCGGAAAGTACATCCACTGTATTCATGGTGCTGCTGTATCTTCTTCTTTTTTAAACTGTATAGTATTCATTCTATTTCTTTGAAACAAATTTTCTTTTTAGAGGGTTGTTTCCTATATATAGCCCATGACAAACCAAATTTGTAAGCATGTTTAATTTGCAGAATTCAGGAGCCCTCATTTAGAGCCCTGTAACAATTCCAAGAATCAAAAACTTCAAGCAGTTCACATTTTTATCTGGAATCATAAAGAAACTAAATATAAAAATATGTTGTGCTGAAAGTCATGTCTTTCATTCAAATATTAAAAGAAATTATGCAGCAACATATATTTATGAGCATTTGATCATTTTTGCGGTCTGTTGATAATGGTTATATAATGATGACTTCCACATTTCACAGGAGACAGTATAATGTTTTCACAGGACAAATTGAGCCTACCAAAGTATGACATAAGACGTCTATAAATAGTTGATCTATATTCATGGACTTTCATTAAATTCCTCCTGTAGGAGCTTCAGAGAAGTTTTTTTTTGAGCTAGGTACAAATGAAGTTAAATTAAAAGATAGAGATGTGCAAATTGTGATTTAATATTGAGACCCCCAGTAATAGTCTAATATCATATTAAATAGTTCCACTTTCTGGGATACAACACTATGTAATGCTAAAAAAGTCAGAATTTCACCTCTTCCACCCTTGAAACATCAATCAACTTTCATCGGACTACATTGTGTTGTATCCAAGGAGACAGAACTCATCATAGTCACTGCTGTGAGTAATATAATGTTACAGTGTTACACTGCTGTATCATATTTCATTTAATGATCATTTTTTTCTTTTTGGGAGAGTCGCAGATGCTTTCACAATTATCTGCATAGAACCAGTGAAATCATATGAACATGTACTTTTCAGCACATTGATTTTGTTTCTGTCTTGATAATTATCTAGTATTCTTTATATAGATTCTTGGCTTCCATGGCACTTAACTTTTGATGTCAATTAAGTTCTTGGGTATAGAGCAAGCTAAGATTTCCATCAACACAAGCCTTTGTTTAGATCCGTTACCTAGCAACGACTAGTGTAAGCAGATATAGAAGACTTTATTTATTTGTTATAATTAGAGTAATCTTGGACTGTTATAATTAATTGTAGTTACAACCTGTAAGTGCTCAATAAACCCAATTACCAATCTGAACCCCGTCTTTAGTTGCTGATACACGAGATAGTATGTTAATATTTTGAGGGATGATGGCCACCTGAGCCAAAGGCAGTGGACTGGAAAAGTTATGAAAGAAAAGTACCGCAGTGTGCACTCACCAGCCCTTTATAGGTCCATTTCTCTCCTAAGATGCAACCTTCTCCATTAGATTCTAAATGGGTCTGATGATTGTAATACTCAGAATTACTGAGCTTTTGCACTCTGCCCATAGTCTGGTATTCTAGAAAACACTAGAGAACACAACGTTTCAGAAACTGGACGTGTTTCCATTCTCAGTTTCAGGTGAGGAGGGGGAGACATCTATTCTGGTGGGTCCATTAGACAGAGCTAACCTCCAGTGAATGAGGTCAGCTCTGTCTTAATGGACCCAGCAGAGCAGGTTTCTCCCCACGTTGTGTTCTCTAGAGTTCCTTAGAATGCTGGATGATGGAAACAATTCTGAATCATTCTCCAGGCTTCTTCCTTCCTGCCCCTACCAAAATCTATTCTTGACCACTTGTGATCTCACCACCATATTCCATGCTGCTTAACCCACAGTGCAGAAATACAAATGTTATGTTTCTGGACATTATCCTGTTTATCATCCAGTTTTTTAAGCCATCCTATTTTTATTTAAAACACGATTTGGGTACTTGATTCTCTCTCCATCTTGAAGTAAATCCTACTAGTCTTTATCTCTGGAGGATGGATAATGTCCAGGAACATAATATTTTTATTAATATACAGTCATCAAGAACTTATAGAGCTTATTCACAATACAGAAAGTTAAACAGTGTCATGCCTACTGAGCAGTTGGTTGAGTGTTGGAAACACCAGTTCCAATTTGCTTTTGGTGTACTCCAGACCCTTAAAAGGGCTGTGTCTTCTTCACAGCTTTTTTAGTCCACTGTCCCTATTGGCCCAGACAAAGCACCAGCCCCCACTCTTCCACCCGTAGTTCTTTAAAAATACAAATATATACAGATAATATGAATGGATAAACATATAGTATACACACAGCAAATCACAAGCTCTCTAAACATGATTCTGAAGATGAAGGCCTCATGTACCTCTGAAACATCAGGACGCTGCCCACATCCACACAGTGAAAAACTGAAGAACTGAATTAATATAATTCCTCATTCTGTTTCATCATATGGTGGGTCCATAGTTTAAAGCAGAAAATATCGCCATATAGCACCTCTGTTATCTAAGCATTAACTCTCTTGATACAGATCAGATTCACAATTCGTCTGCCTATGTGCGAGATTACTACTTCTTCAAGCGTTCACAATATCCACAGTTAGAACTTATTCATATGAAACCTGAAGAGGCATTTAATGCTCTACAGAGGCAGGAACTACTGCACAAGTTTGTTGAGATTGGGAAAGTTTTGCTTACATGGGCCATACTCAAGAATGTAGACATGGTGAGTAGGTATGAAATGTAATATTACCTCAGGGGGCACTTATGTCTGTTTTATAAGTTGTATTTAAGTTTTAAAATAATTCCAATATATTTTTATCCTTTTGAACTTCTCTTTTGAGTTCAGGTTTGTCCCAGAGTTTTATTTCCTTTAAAGTTTAATTATAATGCTCATTGTACTATTCTTCTTCTATCCCTTTTTCTTTTACATGGCCAAAACCGCTGTTGTTGTTTCGCTCCTAATTCTTACTAACTAATTTTAGTTTCTAGTTTATTCTCTAAGAATTTCATTTCTAATTCTATCACTTCTCGATTTTCTTGCATAATTCTAAAAAAATTCATATCAATTGATTAGACTTGACGTATATTACACTTTGGAATGTTATATTTTTCATAATTAAATGCTGAAATCAGAATCAGATATACTGTATGAATTTTATTTTTCATTTTTAAGGTCTCCATGTTTCATAAGATTCCTTTCATAATTGAATTTGGGGTGATCTGGTTTAGTATAGTTTAGTTAGTTTAATTTACTGAGCTGTGTTTCAGTACAAAAAACAGAGAAATCTGCCCACATAACACCAAGATTTTTATAGTACACAGGTTCTATACATGTAGGCATACAAACCACAATATGTACAAAGTACTTACCTTGTTTAAGTGAGTTCAGTTACTGTTACTGTCACACTGATACCACAGCTACTGCACCATTACTATTTCTGCTCTGAATTAGTTTTCTCGTTTTACATTTTAGCTTCCAGGGGAGGGGGGAGGGTCTGTCTCCCCAAGTTTGGTCTCCAATTTACATTTAGTTTTAAATAAATAATTTACAATGAGTTTTATCATCGTTACATTTTTGCAGCTAATGATTTCCATGTATGCCATGTCCTCATCTATATTCAACCATTACTGCATACAAGTTCTCTCTGCTTTTTCATTTCAGGGCATTTTAGCCCTCCTCCCCCATACATAAGGGGCACTTTCCTCTCTCAGATCCCCTCCTGATCCCTCTTAGTTTCCAGGTGCTTGCCTTTAACCATATTATTCCCATTCTCTCATTTTTTGTGCATTCATCATTTTAGCTCTCTTTACCCGACTCCTGTTTCATTTTGCAGTAAAATACCAAAGAAATCTTTTCACTTATTTTTTAAAATACTTTCAGTCTTTCTGTATCATTACACCTTTCTCTAACTAAATTGCATATCTTGTTTCCATTAATCTCTGGTTTTGCCAGATATATTGGAAACATACCTTTTCTAATTCCTCTTTTAATTTTTTGCTCAATTTTCTACCTTCAGATTATTTATCTATCATTCGTAACTCATTCTTACAATTACAGAAGAGTTTGTACTTAATAAATGTAACCAATATTTTGCAATCTTGCTCAGGACTTTCTCCTTCTACTGTCCCTCCCTAATTATAGTTCAGCCATGTTATTTGCAGCACTTATAGTATTATTTTACAAAACCTGCTGTGAATTTTGTCAGTTTCTTTCCTTGCTATATCCAGGCCCCACATATATTTGTCCTACATTATTCTGAATTCTCTCAGCATGTCATATACATTTTCTAACCTCTTCACCCTCATATCAGATCTTCTTGCTAGGCATTTCTTTATGGCTACTCATTCATTCATTCATTCATTCATTCATGGCTACTAGAGTCTGATTCCCTTTTGCTATTGTCTTGAGCATTTGTCTCTTCCAGGAACCACAGCTTTCAAATGTTAGTCCTAAATAATTCATTTTATCCACCACTTCAATTTTTGATTCTTCACAGTCCAGCTTTCATCTTTCTTCAGTTTACCTCGTTTCATACATACTAATATTTTAGTTCTGTTTAGGTTACATTTCAAGTTCTGTCCCCTGCTGTGTCATACCCTTGATGTGTCCAGCTGTTTGCTCTTGGCTTCCAGTGTAATGTTTTCCCTCAGATAACTGAAATTGTATGCCTGTCCGTTTACTATCAGAACATTTTTCTTAGGAAGGCTTTGTGGCCCCCCCTTCTTTGCATCTTTAATGCAGAGGACCAGTTCTCTCTTTATTCTCCTAGCCTCTATGGAAAGGTCTTTGCCCACTCTAACTTTGGAACTGGTTATGTTTCTTTCATATATTAGTACTGGCAGCTTTAAAAATGTGGAATGTGGTAGTGTAGTTGGTTGAGGCACTGTGCACATTTGTGATGAGGTCACTGTGTTTTTCAATTGACCTAATCATTCCACCCACACTATGGCCCTGGGGTCAAGTCAACCTCTAACAGAAATGAGTACCAGGAATCTTCCTGAGACTAAATGGCAGCCAGCACTTAAGGCTGACAACCTCACCACCGTCTGAGATCCTGATTGTGTAGAAAATGTGGGAGCCTCAATGCCTCACAACCCTATGGACCTCCACAGCTTGTTACAAGGATAGCTTTACTTTGTTTTTACTGGCTTCAAAAGTGATGGAAATTTAATCAAAATTGGATACTCCCTCTGCCTTGCAATTTAGCTACATAATCGATATCCTTGATCATTTCTTCTACTTTCATTGATTCACTGAGCCACTTGGCCACAATATTCAGGGTTTTGAAATAATGTACTTTTATCTTCTCTAGCAGTCCAAAAATGATTACACTTGGTTGTCAACATACGACCGACTTCCATTCTGAGTGACAGGTCATAAGTCGATCTGGTCGTATGTTGGCCATATATTTATTAACAGTATTTTTTAACGTTCTAACCTTTTGGTCATCTTTATAATTTATTTTTAAACATTTTTGCATTTTATTCATCTTTTATTTTTCATTCTTTGTGGTTTTAAATCAACGACCAAGTATATATTGTTTTTTTTTCTCCATCACCCTTTGTTGTGGTATGTTTTGCAAGTCTTGAGACCTCACTTCACATTCTCAGATCTCTTTCCTTTCTGTTAGTATCTCCTTTGGTTTTCCCTTCTTGGAACTTCAGTCACTATGACATGGAATGCTGTTTTCATTTTGTATCTATATAGGTTGTGCAACGTGTGGTATTTCTACATGAAGAACTTATGAAATTGCCTTCATTTCCACGCAAGGCTTTGGAAGCTGATCTTGATTTGTATAAAGGAGGTGAAATGGGCAAGGTAAGCTTTCCAAACTCTGCAAAGATATTTCAGTTTTATGCTTCTCATACTGACTATAGAAATGTAGGAAAAGGTGCCACTAGAGATCTAAGCATAGATGAGCATTTATTTTTGTTGTAAGACTAAAGAATTTAATGTCATTTACATGCAATGAGGGAATATTTAAAAAGCAATGAGGCACTGGTTGTTCAACAGCAGTATTGTTACCATTGATGTTACAGTAAACTTTTTCATTGACATCACTTCATAAGATATTAAATTGGATGATTCAAGTTATATGGACTTACTTTAAGGGGATTATGGGAAGATAATTTGGAGCAGGAGAAATAAATAAATTATTTTTCAGTTTATCATCATTGTTGACTTATAGTTCCAACACTTTTAACCTTTTCATTGCCAAGCCCTGCCATAGAACTACAAACGGAAAGGCTGCAAAAAGTGAATGTTTTGGAGGGGTCACCCCCTTCGTAGCAGAAACAGAAGCTGCATTAGCATAAGAAGAGCCAGATATGGGGGAGCACCGGCCACTCCAAGAGTTTTGACCCCACTATTGGGGGGGGGGGAGATAGAGAGAGAGAGAGAGAGCCTTTGAATAATGGTGATACATCTGCATCTAACTGGAACCTTATAAGGAAACTGTTCAGGACAAGCTGACCTTAAGGAGGGAGCGGTGAAAGTGACGTCACAAATAGAAACCTCAGAAGCAAGGGGCAGTGATACACCATTAGGCTACTGGGGAAGAGCAGCCTTAAGGAGGGAGCAGTGTGATATATTTGATTGATGCATTTGCCAGGCAGCAGGTCTGTAAACATGATACGTGCCTACAACAGCCGCGCAAGCTGTGTTTTCTGTGTGTCTGGCAGTTTGTATAGGATCAGTGACATCACACATCAAAAGTATATGGCATGTGGCATGTTTCCTACATGTCCGTCAGCTTGCAGATGTGTGGTGACGTCACACAACAACAGTGAGTAAAGGACATGTGATATGTGTTTACTGTTGGTCAGTGTCTGTTCCATGGCTATATATGTGAGCCATAGAGAGAAAAATAGTAGCATCGGAATCACGTGAACAGAGCGAAGTGAAAACAGGAGTACAGACGAATATAGGAAGTCAGCCTGAGAGGATTTGAAGTGTGATTGGAAGATTGTATTTGTAATAGTTGTAGTGATTTGAAGTGATAGTTTCTGTGTTGAGTACTGTTGCTAGGAGATGACTAGTGGAAACAGAGAATCCTAGTGTGTGTGTGTGCGTGCGCGCGCGCGCAGTGGTGAATTGGAAAGTATGTTAATCCGTGAAGCACTGTATTGCCTGTATTTAAATGTGATTGCAACCAAAGTGCTAATAAATCCAAGCCTCTGAGCTAGAATCCGTCATTTTCCTCACGCATACTACCCTACACATGACACTACATTTACATTTAATATTGTCGCATATCGGGCGTATATCGCGACAAATAAATTCTCGATGTATTCGATGTAGCGAATTTTATTTCACATTCGCACTTACAATCACCCAAATTACAGATTTATGGTTACAGCTATCTGCAGTTTCACAATTAGTACACTCCAAATGCCAGAATACAACTGACTAGTTGCTGGCTAACTCGGCGGTAGCTCCAGGACTCACTGACTGACTCAGTACAACTCGACTCGGCGACTGTTACAGTACAACTGACTGTGAATAGCCTTCGCTGCTCCCCATGTAGCCTTGATTGGACCATACGGAAAACAGCCTTGTTGCCTGGCGCTGTGTTGCTAGCAACGCTAGCGGTAGTAACCGCTGTTACTACAGTAACAATCCTGTTGCGTCACCGTGCGGAGGAGGGGGAGGGGAGCGCTGACCCCCCCGCCGTGTCACTGCTTGGGGGGGGTTCTCTTTTGCGCAACATGTCACAATATTTTTATTGATTACTCTCATTTACATTGAATGTAAAACGCATTTATTAACCATTTTCAGTTTGAATTTTACATTACACTTATCACAAATGTTCAGTCATATAGTGTAGATTTGTGCACAGTTCTCTATATTTCTTCACAAGAATTACTCAAACTTTGTTCCTTAACCTCACATGCATACTTCACATTTACATCAAATGGAGTCATGGAGACATGAACCAGTGGTTTAGGTTGGTCTTTAACATTGATTACCGATGTGACTGGTCAGGTTATAGCAATCCTCAATTCAATAACAGTTATTTTCTTTCAGGCATCCACATAGTAAAAATCAAGTTGGTTCAGGCTTTGAGAATGTGGAGACGAGACCATCAAATCCTCATCTGGAGGTTGTATCTACAAATATAGATTCTCGGAGCAAAAAACTGATTGATTGATTGACTGGAACATCCAGAAAATAGTTGCTTAACGAATTGCACATTTGGTATAAAAAATGAGGAGTGGCATCGCTATACTGAAATCACATTACCTCATGAACATTAAGGGGTACATCCTGCAATAAATGGGAAAATGTTCTTTCAAAGAGATCAACATAGTGGATTGAAATTAGAGAATTTGCTATCACATATGGTCCAATTTGATAATCATCTATTATTAATGCCAAAACAGTGATGCCAAATCTTTGATTATGTGAAGGCCATTGTGTAACATAATATTCTCCAGTACTCATCCATGTTGATTTTGGAGATAGTTTATGTCCTTAGTTTTGTATGTTACCTGTCCAGTACACAATATATGGCACAAAAAGCCATCAAGAAATCTGGAGGTGAAGTTCATTGTCCTGACACAAGTTCTTATACAAGATGTATATGGACAGGTTACAGCTCCTCTTCCTGAAGTGTGCGGCAAATGCACTCTGAAAGAGGCCTAAATCGTACAGCAAGTGACTCAGTGAATGCTAGTAGATAGATATTCATGTGCAGCATAAACACTTCCTCTTCTACCTGTGCTTTGCATCTGCCATGGTCATTGTGTGCTTGTGGCATGAGTTCATCTGTTTCTGTCAGACTGCAGTATGTTGATGCAAAGACATGTCTGGTGGGTTGCCTGTGATCTAGATACCAGTGCTAGTAGTCTCTTGATGCAATTCTACCATTTTTATTACAAAAACCATTGATGAAATACATATTGGCATATTATGTTTTGCTGTTAACACTGAGTTGCTGTCAGTAGTAGCATGAGCCATAAGTAAATGTAATATGATCTTCTTCATGTGATATGATGAAGGTTCAGCCACACAAACAGTGTAGGATATCAAGACTAAAATTGTAATATCATAACTCTGGAGTACTGTTGAAATGGACAATCACTCGTCTCCGTTTATGCTCCAAATTACCTCCCTAACAGCTTCCTAAATGTTAGCCATAGGACTTTGAATCACCCTGAATAGATTAAGAAATTGCTTACTACAAGGTTTTCTTGTGTCCATTTGTGCTTCTTTTATTTAATGACACTATACAAGGTGCAGATTCTTTCTAATTTCAGTGATTAATTATGAGAATGAGTTAGGGGGTATGTGGAAGAAAATTGGTTCTGAAGACTCTTGCATAACTTGTTCTGCCCCGAAGGTGAGGCAGCAGTTTCTTTGATAGATCAGTAACCATCTACCAAACTACATGGTATCACACTGCATAAGGCTGCATTCAATATGTTCACTGCAATGAGTACCAGAAACATGTTACTGCATTTTTGTAAATTGTGAATTGCAGAGGCTTGTGTGATAAACTCTAACAGTATTTGGGTTTGTAATTACTCTTGTAGTTAATTTGTTGGTAAATAAACTTAATTTGGTATAAGAATTTTTTTATTTTTCAGAGCTTGTACTTCCATTTAATATGATTATGGTTGAATCAACAGCCAATTTTCATGTTTTCTTTCCACCTGAATTCCATCCCATACAACCACTGTATGCATTTAATATGTCTCTTAGTTATTTTTAAACGAGTTAGGTATTATTGATTATTTATTTATTTGTGTAGAATCTGTTCCTTTCTTTGAGCGTTTATTTCATATGTCATTAATTATTTTATAAATTATTTTGATTTTACTGATTATGAAATTATGCAAGAGTCTTCAGAACCAATTTTATTCCACATACCCCCTAACTCATTCTCATAATTAATCACTGAAATTAGAAAGAATCTGCACCTTGTATAGCATGGTGTACAGAGTCTGAATAAAACTGAGTGCCTTATGAATAAGGAAGTCTCTGTCTCTTGGGATTTTTATTGCTGCGAATATTAAGTTATGATGTATGTGGAAGAAAGTGGTTACAGCGAAAGCTTTAGTAGCATCAGACTGATATCCTTTAAATACAAAGAAAGAATGTTAACTTCTAAACTGTGGTGTTCAATGCATAAAAATTCATGTTTTTAAAATGTTTTTTATTTATACAGTTCTCTGTTGAAGTCTGCTGCTGATTCATCTGCACATGCGAATGTAATTTATTTAATGATAGTATTTTTTCCATATCATTATTGTGTTATTGTATGCAATTCTTTATTGGAGTCCATCTTAACACAACAACATAATGGTCAAGAGTTAATATTACGTTAGCTACATGTTTCGGCTTTTGATGCCATCATCAGGCAAACACATGATTACTATATTCACACATTACTGAACTACAATTGCGATAGTAAAGTTGGATACTCAATAACTGTTACATTATAAAATACAAGGTATAAAAATACAATGAATAATAAACTTACATAGGTCATTTCAGAAATAATGCACACAATTTTTTGTTTATGTCCATGTTTATTTTTTTTAATATCTCTACAGTCCTTCAATATAGTCCCCCTGCTTCTCAATGACCGAGTCCCAACATGTGGGAAGCGTTACTATTCCATCCAGGACACCATCTTTGTTTATCTGTCGAAGGCTCGGGTACTGCAGCAGAAAGCTCTTGCAGAGGGGGAAAACAACGGCCTCGTATAGGTTGTTTCAACTTCGGGAATAAGTCGAAGTCTGGTGGACTCATGTCTGGGCTGTAGGGAGCATGAGGCAACACCTCCCAACCGTATTGGCGCAGCTTTTCTGTTACGACATTCCCGATGTGCGGGCGAGCGTTGTCATGGAGAGTGATTGGCCCAGCCTTGAGCAACTGAGGCCGGTTTTTGTGCATTTTTCTGCTCAGATTTTGCATAAAGTCACCGATGATAAACTGCTGTGACACTTATCTTGCACGGAACTCTGTGTCATGATGATTCCTTGGTGATCATAAGCAAAGATCATCATTTGTTTGACCTTTGATTGAGATTGTCAAATTTTTTTTTGGTTTTGGGGAAGATGGACCTCTCCCCTTGTTGGACTGTGATTTCAGCTGTGGATTTCTGTCGGATTTTTTTCCATGTAAAGTGTCCATCTTAAAGTATGACCTTTGATCTTCAATATTCACAATATCCGAGAACCGTGCAGGCTCCATTTCTAACTCACGTTATTTAAGAACAGGCTACATTATAAATGAAACAAAATAACGCGCTTCTTTCTCAAGCCCTAAACTGTAACTGACATGAGGCTCACTGTTTTTGCATCATCTAATTTGCAGTGTTGCCAACCCGTGCATTATTTAGAAATGACCCACGTATTAAAAAAACGAAAGTTATTGAATAGAATATGGTTAAGAACTCTTCATATGATATTGCATATCATGAAGTCAGTTGTTGCAATCTTGTTGCTATATTCCCCCGGACATAATGGTATAATCAAGACTTATATATATATAGTAAACTGCTTGGAGGCTTGTAGTATAGATGTAGTATTATTTGACATTAATTGTTTGGCCAGTACCTCATTTTACAGTGTATTTTGATTTGCAATCTGTATTCCAAACAGAGCAGACAAAATACATTGTAAAATGAGGCACCAGCCAAACAATTAATGTCAAATAATACTACATCTATACTATGGAGGGGACCACTTTCAAGATGATAATGTTCCCATTGTGTGATTAGATAAATAACAGGTTTTAGAGTATCAGTCCGACTATTTTATAGCCGTTTCACATATAAGTGAGCAGAATTCCTGTGCTGTAGTCACGAGAGAGAAATAGTAGCAGCAAAAGAAAATGAGAGAGTGAATTTGAACTAGAAGTGATAATTACAGTGAGTGACAGAGTTCTGAGTTCTCGGTGGAAGATAGCCATGAAAGTTCATTGTGTGAAGACTTCGTGTGTGATTGGAAGACTTTATTCATGTAGTATTTGGAGTGATTTGAAGCTCTTGTTCCTGTGTTTGAATTGCATTACCAGGAGAGGACTAGTGTGTGTCACAGTGAATTATAAAAGTATGGAACCAGCGATAGTGCCGTATGTAAGTGTGATTAAGTGAGGTTATAACCAAGGTGCCAATAAATCCAGTCATCTGAACCAGACCCTGTCATTCTTGTCGCATGTACCATCTTACACATGACAGTATTAAGACTGCAGCCCTCTGGAATGTGACACTATGTAGTATGGTAGATGGTTAGCTGCATGTTGGAGGAACTTGCTGTCTCCACATGTATACAGAACCAACAGTGCTGACAATGCTAATGCTGAGACCTGAAGTTTTTATGGTAGGTTATTAACAACCTTAATGCAAGAAACTTCTATGCTGAAGATGGAGGGAGCAGGTGCTTCCAAAATATTGTTAATCAACTACCATAAGATCAAGGCTCAGTGTTTGTACTGTTTTATTTATTTGTTCACTTAATTTCTTGGAGTTCTCACCATGGTGACTGTGATGAGTACTGTCTTCTGAGATATGATGCAGCATAGTTTGACAAATGTTAATTCAGTTTTTTGTTGATCTTGAGCAGGAACTTCTAGGACTGGATGTGCTACATAAATTCATGTGGGTGCGACTCATTGCCAGGATGTTTGAAGCAATGGCAGGGAACTTTGCCTATTCTGGTGATATCCACTTGTTCCTTAATGTTCTCAATGGAGCTGTGATACTTCACAGTGAAGATGCGTGTATTCTCCGTTATGTAACAGCAACATACATCAATGCTGCTCATAACTTCAAAAACATCTTTTCCACTAATGGGTAAGTTTATCTTGTATCAATGCTTACGTCTTTACTAATGCAGCCAGCAATTCTTCCAGTCAGGCTGAATTAATGTTTAAAACTGAATCACAGTGATCATCATCCATTTGTGCCTTCACCAAGTTGGATCATCTTTTAAAGAATCCTTCTCCAGTGTGGATGAAATGATGATTATGAATAATAGTGACTCAGGAGGTGTGTGGGAGTTAGCAATCATGGATTTATTTATTCTTGTATTTGTCGGGAAGAACAAAGACAAACTTTATCAGGTTAGTGAAAACTAGGACTTGAGGTAAAGACCTCTCATATTTGAAGCAGATGCTGTGTTTCATTATTTGTTTATATATCCAACTATTTTATCATGCTGTATCAACTTCTGAGGTCATATTTTGTCACATGTAATACTGATGTAGTGCAATGATTATGGATGATGATTGGAAAGTATGTGGAGGAAGGTACTTACTCAGCATATGCTTTGAAGGAAGATACAGCAGTCATGATATCCAATTACCAGCTGGGATTTGAACGTGACTATTTATATAGTGATCTTGGTCAGATTGTTACAAGACTTCTACATATGTACTTCTCTTTTGCAGATATCTGCTCATAATGCCCACATTGCTTCAACTATACTCAAATCATCAGACAAATAGACTGGTGAAGACGACTGTTGAGTACACTGTCAAACAGTTCTATTTAATGAATCGAAAGCCATTTATTCTCCAGATGTTTGGTAGTGTGTCTGCTATTTTAGATACTGATGATGACAACCAGTATGGTGATGCTCATAAGGTAAATACTGTCTTAATACTCTTTTAAGTTGATCAGTACATTTTTTCATCATTACAAGGGGACATCTTGTAATGCTGAATTTCCTTTTTCATGGGATTCTACATACATCAGTAAATCTCTTATGTTGTTGCTGAATATTATATTAGTAGCTAAAGCTCAGGCTTTTCTCAAAATAAAATCTACTAAAATTGTGTATTTCTTAATGTTACACGTCTATTTCATTGTTGTAACTATGACATTACAAGGTAATAAGTCATGTAAATAACATATACATCAGTTTATGCATTAAAATGTGTATATTTGCTTAGTAATGAGGTACAGGTGGGTGCAGATTCCTTTATGCATTATACCTCATACAGTCTCATAGCAGCCATTACAAGGAGAACAGGGAAGACAGAAGGATCTTATTCAACAGGTGTATTTAAATTATTTACAAGCTTCATTCTATAAGAAAAAGGGAATTCATATCTCACAAGTCATAGTCAATTCTTTAAATATCAAACACTATTATTACCTTAGTAACTTATAATAACAGAGGCACTGCAGTAAGTTTGCTTATATATCAGGCTATTATTATAATGGTTCATAACAAAGGTTTTTTCATTATACCAATGTTGCATTGGACATTATCCATTGCATGATGATGCTGTTTTGATCAGCTTCAGAAATTGTGTCATAAACAGTTGGCTGAATAAATTTGTCTTGAACAGCTTCAGCATGTGATTCTCCAGCCTCTCTAGTGATGTCTGTAATTACATATGGATATGCTGTCATAATTAAGTTAATCAAATGATTTTATTTCAGGTGCAGTCTAATTGTCTGTTCAATCTCTTACTCAGTTTGGAAACACCATCACCAGATCCCCTAAATATAGGTGAACTGGTAAGAGAAGAAAAGCCACTGAAGGCAATAGATTTCTGTTACCATGATGAGAATGAAATGGTAACTGTTCTTGATTGTATTTCACTATGCGTCATGGTAGTAGCATATGCTGCTGACTCAGTCCGAGGCCATCAGATGCTGGTCAGTATTATGAAAGTAGATAATATTCAATTTTCAAATCCTGGCCTTGTCTTTAATAAGCCAGAACAAAAATAGTTGTATCTTTCACTTTCAGTCCACAACTGCCCTTTGAGCACAGCTGATCAGAAAATAGTTGCATTAACCAACAGTACACAACAAACAGAAAGTCAACACACTTTCAAGAAAGAATTCTTCGAACTGCATCACATACTTCTAAAATTTCAACAAAACCACCACTGTTCTGCACCCACAGCATGCAAAACTGTATTCACCAAAGACATGTAACACTGGCGAAACAACAGTCTAACCTATCACAACAAGCACACCAAGATCAACCCAACTATTATACTGACTGTACCTAATTTCAATATTTAACATATAATTTTTAACATTCAATTTCAACTTTTGTTTTTAACCTTTAATGTACTATAAGGCAGTTGCATGAGATGTACCAAAAATTCAGTGAAAATATTTGCATTATTGTATTTACTAATATGGATCCATGTTACCCAAACTATTCAATAATGGTGGTATACAAGGTCTGGCAATAAAGTTTGTGAACTTGCCACCATTGCTTGCGATGGCAGCAGTGGACAGAAACCTTGGTATGGTTTGATGACTTTGGCATATCAGCATTTCACAGCTGTGTTATTGTTATCTATGGCAGTCTCTTTCTAAGTGGCATCTATTATTTTCTGAGCGTGTTTCGGTTTGCTGTCATGAACAACTCATTAATCATGCAACATGACAATACATCTGCTCACACGTCACTGTCTGTGAGGGAGTTTTTAGCTAGTAAACAAATAACCATTGTGCTGGAACACCATTCCTATTCACCGGATCTTGCCCTCAGTGACTTTTTTCCGTTCATGAAGATAAAGGGAATATTGAAAGGAAGGTATTTTGATGACATTGATGACATCAGGAGTAATATGGCAGCAGCTCTGGAGACCATTCCACAAAACCAGTTCCAAAATTGTTTTGAAGGTTGGACTAGGTGCTGGCATCGGTGCATATCTTCCCAAGGGGAGTATTTTGAAGGTGGTGACAGTGATTTTCAACAATGAGATATGAAGCACTTTTACCACAGTGAGTTTGCATACTCTATTGTCAAACCAGATACATTGACATAATCCACCTGAAGATGATCAAATTGATTGAAACATATAATGGTATACGTAGGTTGTACCGAAAGTCATGAGCAACTTTTTTTTGCATGCAAACCTGGGAACAGCAGACAAAAGAGAGTATGGTGGTAGGTGAAACCAGCTGTTGTGTTAAACTTGAGTGTCTTGTGATGTCAATAGCTTGCATCACATGACCAGTATCACTCGTAACAAAATGGCCGACAATGATATGTCATTTCGCCAGTGTGCTGTCATCGAATTTCTTGTGAAAGAGGAAATCCCTGCTGCAGAAATTCACCAGAGACTTCAGCGTGCTTACAGAAGTGTGTGCAGTGTTCGAAGATGGGTGAAACATTTTAAAGATGGGAACACCAGCATCGAAGATGAGCCTCGGAGCGGTCGTCCTCGAACAGCCTCAACTGAACGCAACAAGGAAAGAGTGGATGAGATAATTTAAGATGACAGGCATGTGACTGTGGAAACAATAGCCCCAAAACTTGGAATAGGGCACAGTGCAGTACAAGAGATGATTGAAAGCTTGGGCTATAGGAAAGTTTGTGCTCGTTGAGTCCCGCGGTTATTGACCGAAGACCACAAAGGTCAGCAAAAAGCCATCACCTCAGAACTGCTGCAGAGATATTGACATGAAGGCGATGATTTTTTGCTCTGTATTCTGACAGGTGACGAAAGCTGGTTTCACCATTTTGAGCCTGAAACGAAATGGCAGAGTATAGAATGGCACCATTTGCAATCTCCATCAAAAAAGAAGGCAAAGACAGTGCCATCAGCTGCGAAGGTGATGGGTACAGTCTTCTGGGATGCAGAGGTGTTTATTCGGGCAGAATTCCTGGAACCTGGGCAAACCATCAATGCTGCTCGTTATGTCCAGACGCTGCACAAGCTCCATCGTGCATTGCGCGATAAACGTCTGGGATCAAACATCATCATCCTGCATGACAACGCTTGCCCCCATGCCACTCGCCTCACATTGGAAGCAATGGCAAAGATGGGGTGGGAAGTTCTTCCACACGCCTCTCACAGCCTTGATCTGGCACCCTCCGACTACCATCTTTTCANAAAAAAGGAAGTATTAACACATTAATATTAGTTTTACTCTCTCGTAGATTGTCGTGTTGATGGCTACATAAGTACCCATACCTTTACTGACTGCTAACTTACTGTACATTGTCATTCTTGAGAACCTGATAGTCACTTAATAGGTCAAGAAATTTTCTATCTGTGGATGTAGAATATTTATTAATGTGTTCTGAAGAGCATGCCACTTACCCTTTCCTATACTTTCTTTCTGTTTCTGTGTTATTTAGTGTCTTCCTGAATAAGGCACTGTAGTCTGGCAGAGAGGAATCAGCATCTTGGAACAGCATATTGCCCCCATCTTCAGGGTAGAATAGTAAGCTGCTTGGGATAATGAGGAAACTGATATGTAGAATACAGAAAGAGACAGGGCTCTGAGAAGGCCAGTGATACGTGGTATCCTCTGTATGCATCAAATCTTTGAGGGAAATGGGTGAGGAGAATTTGAGTGAGGAAGTGCGGGTGCAAAATTGAGTACTTCATGGTTTTGGGAGGAGTATAAATGCAGCTTGTAGGGTTTCAAGTAAGTTGATCCACAGAGGTTTGCAAAAGAGCAACTATGCTGAATGCAGATACATGGATCAGAAAGAGAGAGAGGGGCAGAGAGCAAGTCAGCCCACTGGATCTCGTGGAAGGGCAAAAATGGTTGCCCTACTTGGTTTACCTCCTTAACCCCTTTCTCACTCATAATGCAGAGGTGACCTGCATTTGACAAGTAGCTCATTTGTGGAACCTCAGAGATTCATTTTCCTCCATTTCCCAATTTTTTCTCCCCCATATTTTTGGCTGATGGTACATGCATGCTTCTGGATAGCTTTTTCATAGGGCTGTGATTGGTGCTTCAGTTGTTCTCACCTCTTTTCACCTCAGAAAATTTTTGTTCCAGTTGGCCTACTGGTGTCCCATTCCCTCCTTTCCCTATGCCTGTACCATCATTCGCCTGCATGGCTTACTCTACTGCCCTGAGGATTGAGGCAGCTGATTCCTCCAGAACTGAGTACCCTACTAGACTTTTTGACATTATGTCTTGGAAGACAGTAATTTTCATAGTTACTGGCACGAATATTTCAAATCTCAAATACTGTATTATTAGAGTCATCTGAAGGGCATTCTTGTATTTGAATTTATTATATGTTGTAATATTCTGACACCTTATGGGGACTGATCTGTTTAGTCTGAAATGTGAATGGGGACTAGAACTATAGCTTCCAAAGGATGGACTATAACAGACAAGCCCTTTTAAATGTTGTGACATTACTGAATCTGCATTGAACCAACACACAGTGTAGAACACACTGAACGTATATACGCCCAGACAAGAAACACATACACCATATTTTATGATTGCATAACATGAACACAAAAGCTAATGAATCTGCATTGTTGGGAGCTATAACATAGCAACGGCTAGTGAAGACAAACTGAGAAGATGTAGCGTATGCTGTAGTGAGAAGTTATGTGCATCAATTAGTGAGGGTGCTATACTTGCTTGTAGTTATGATTTGTAAGGAGTTCAATAAATTCAATTACAAAAGAAAACTATGTGTCTAGTCACTAACATGTGAAAATATTGTCACATATGTTGTAGACTTGTAGACAGGGTCTGAACTGGGGAATCAGTTTATTGCATATTCACCAATTGTAACTACAATTAATTATGACACTCTCAAGATTACTGTACTTATAACACATAACTACAAATGATTATAATCCTCTAAATATAACTGTAACTATAGCACAGAAAGCAAAGTCGTCAGCACCTGCTTGCTTGGTAATGCTATCAATCTTGAAGAATCATTGGTCTCTCAAATTACTTCTCGAACTCTGGAGCACACTCACGCTTACTCCACACTTCACACTTACTTCCTTACATGGCTGACCATGTACAGAACACCTACTTCAAGGGTTCAGTTCCTTGTATCTGTTGTAACTGATTGTTTATGTGCTTGTTGTCTTGGAAACGTGCATGAACCGTTGCCTAGCAAAATAGTTAATTCCTTGTCTGGCTCCATTATATCAGTTTTTTTATGTTTATGGAGCCATTGCCTGGCAATGGACACCTGGCTCCAACTCCACTGTTGCTGCTTTCAGGCATCACGTCACAATATGTTGGATTTGACATTTTCACAGTGGTGGCTATGATGAGGTCTACCTTCTGGGATATAATAGTCATATGTAGGTGCAGGGGGGGGTACATGATGAAATGACGGTTTCTAGTTCACATGATTGGATTTATTAACAGCTTGCTTACATATTCTTTATTTCACTTAAATTACAGTGCTATCGCTGATTTACACATTCCAGTTCAGCGTTGTGCACACACCAGGATTTTCTGTCTTCCAGTATTCTTCTCCTAGCAACGGATCTCCACACAGAAACTGTCTCTTCATATAACTCTAAATATTACACATAAGATCTTCCAGTTACTCTTCCAGTATCACTGCACTGTTGCACACATAAAGTCTTCTAAATCACACCTGATATCCTCACAGAGCGACCTTCTGTATTCCTGGTTCCACTTTGCTTGCTTCCGCCACTCTCATACTCCTGAATACTGACGAATACTGGCATCTTTTCTGTCTGTAACTGTCATTATATAGTTTCTGCACTGACCATGCAGAAAACAGCCTATATTGTTGGAACTTGTTCACAGAGCTGTCGCCTAGCAATGTGCTGATATAATCCGCAACTCTCCCATTCTACACGTGCTCCAAGGCCTCTGTGGCTTAACATTTCCTGCATACAGCAGATATGCCACAATATCATATAGTTTAGTGAAAGTCAACTATGTGTCAGAGAAACATATTGCCTCCATCTTCAGGTTCAATTAGCAAATTAATAGAAAGCTTGCAGGAGATAGGCAGCAAGCAGAGAAACCTGTGCTGCCCTCTTTGTGTTCTCTTCTATCTTAGTTTACTCTTTTACTCTGAAGATGGAGGCAGTATGTTCTGGTTGGCTTTCACCAGACTATATGGTGTTATATTTCAGAAGATATAATGTTTTAAGCCCTCTTTTAAAGTCCATTTATTTCTTGACTCACTGCCATTGCTGAATTTATTATTTATTTTTATACTTTTAAATGTTTGGAAATGCTGTTCTGAGCATGACACAGCTCCTGAAAGGGTTAAATGTTAAATACATAAGCATGATTGAACCAGATCAAGTTGTTTCATGCAAACCTCATATTACAATTATTGTTTGGACATGTCAGTGAAACTCAGATGTAGATAATGAACAATACAGACTTCTGGGTTGTACCACTATTCTGTTCAGACTTTTACCTTTATAGTACAGAAGATCATTTTTTAATTTTTTTTTTTTAATTCCCATAATGTTGTGTGGAATCCAGCTGGGTCCACTTGGCACGTCGGCCTCTGATTGGCCTATTGTACCTGCCCTGGGTGATTATGATGATGGAGAATTTGGTGGAATGAAGATTGGCAGGGGAAACCGAAGTACTCGGGGAAAACCTGCGCCAGCGCCACACTGTCCACCACAAATTCCACTTGACCACACCTGCGCTCGAACCTGGGCCACCATGGTGGGAAGCCAGCAACTAGTTAGTTAATTAGTTAGTTAGTTAGTTAGTTAGTTAGTTAGTTTTTGGAGAGGGTGGGTTTCCCCATGCACTTAGACCTGTATTGGTCCATTGTGCTTCCCTCTATGATTTCTACCAGTCTCTATATCCTACCGGTACTGGTGCTTACCATCAGTCCCACCCAGCCAGCGAGACCGGCTCTACTAGCTGAGAGGTATCTATAATGCTTCCCCCATCTACCAGAGGTATTAGAGACTGCTGTTGGGTGGGAAACATCCGTAATTTGGCTCAGTGACCTCCTTTGGAGATATGAGGTTCTTTTACGTTTCCGTAAAGCTACAACACGGGACCCACGGCTTAAAGTCCCTCCCGGAGGACTTGTTCCCTGAATTTTTCCACCCTTAAAAATTCGACGACCTCCACTGGGTATTTGAACCCGTGTACTACGAGTCATGAGGTGGGAACATTACCTCTAGACTACTGAGGCCGCTAAGCCAGCCACTAACCGGTTGAGCTATGGTGCAGCCTTACAGAAGTTCATAGTCACTGCTGTAATAACTTCAAATCAACTTTTTCTAAAAAGATTCCAGTTTTAATTACTTGTAATTACCTGACTACATAGCAAACATCACTGTATTTGGTGCCTTCTAGTTCAGTAGTCTTCGGAGAATATGCTGACCCTGGTTGCAATATCTTGAAGTGGAAGTGAATCTGGTGGTGTACTCAGTAGAACAGCATAAAATAATTTTACCAGACAGCTAGCATTATCACAATCCAGCGTTTATTTGAAGTGAACTTTGAGTGCATGAAAGCACCAAGCAGGTCTGCAATAAACAGATTAGTTAATAAGCTTGAGATGACTGGGCATATGAGTAACAGTAAGGAGAGTGTTGTCAGTAAGAAAGAGTCTGTTACAACACCAGAAAATGTTCATGTTGAGCAGGCATTGTCCCAAAGTCCCAGGAAATTTGTGATACATTTTTCTCAACAACTCAGAAGCATCATCAACATACAGGACAACTACTGAAGATGTGAAACACTTTTTATAAGAATTTCAAATACAGCAAGCCCTTTGTCACGCTCATGAACCCAGGAAAGTTGACATCTATAGTGACTTGCCTAAGACATTTCTGAGGAGAATCCAGCAGTATCCCAAAGCATATGGTTTAGTGATGAGTCCTGTGTTTGCTTCAATGGCTAATGTGAATAAGTAGAATATGCAGTAGGCCAGTGAACACCTGCATAATGTATTGGAGACACTCTTACACCAGAAATATGCACGGTGTGATCTGTCAACAAGTGGTATTGATGGGCAAGTTTCTTTTTTACAATACTGTGACTGTTGATTGTTATCTCTATGTCTTTCAGGAAGACTTTCTTCCATTTATATAAGGAATAGGTGTCAGTTTCAGGTAAAAATGTTTTAAACAAGTCAGAGTCTTGCCCAGACACTGTGAACAAGTGTTGGATGTGTGCAATGAATATTTAGATGACAGAATGTTGTCTAATTGTTTTCCAGAACAGTTCTTGTATGGGTGGTCCTTGCCACCATCCTTTCCAGGTCCTAATCCATGCAGTCATTTCATATGGGGATTTTTTAAATTTACATTTTACAGAAATAATCTGCACGCAGTCAAAGAAGTGAAACAAGACATTTTGGCAGCAATGGTCAGCATCATTGAAGAAATTCCAGTGAAAGACATATTGAAAATCCATTTATGTGATTGTCGATATCCCAACACTAATCAAGTCAATATCCAAAGACTAATGAACTCGGAGACATTAAGTAGTGTGATGTTAATTGTATGAAATTTTAACTTGAGCATTTTCTAGAAAGACCCCTTAAAAGTATTACAGTAGAAATCAGTTTCATGAACAGTCTAGGTCCTTGAGGAATGCAAAGCTGCAAAAAATATACTTAAGAAGCATGTACTCCACTCCTGTTAAATATTGATATATGATGTAAAAAGGTTTATCAGCCTCTGTCACACATTGCATTGTCATGATATTAGTAAAAAATTGTGAATGTATTTCTTTTTACATTTCTCACCAGACAATCCTAGAAGCCATATTGCCCTGTTATATGCAGCACATCCAACTGCCAAGCTACAGGAAGGAAGGCAAAACTGAGAAGGAAATCATTTATCAACTTGCAGTTGCTGTTAAGACTCTTGTCAATAACTGTGAAGCTCTTGCAAAGTAAGTTGCAAATTATTTCTTTTTATAACATGAGTTTTGTGGTCTGGAGAACAGTAAAGGGGTACAGAATTTTTATGAGAATTCCTAATGAAGAACAGAAGACAAAAGACAAAATATTATGTCCTGGTTGTGTGGGTAGCACTCCTGCTTTATTTTTAGAAGTCACAGTTTCAGATCTGGGTACAGATGGAGATGGTGTGTAGTTTTCTTCTTTCTTTCCTGGCAGAAGACAAGAACCTCAAATCATGTCATGACTGCTTTCTTCCACATCCTATCCAGTTCACTAATCATCTTAGTATTTGATGCTGTGTACGTAATATGAGGTATTGGTAGCATTGTTAAATAAAGCATAAATGAACAAATAAAAGGTATCAGTTACTGTATCTATTTAACAAGTTTTTTCAGATGAAGTAAATCCCTGATAAGAGTTGAGGCAGCTATCACTATGCAAATTGTTTGAGTCAAACAAAAAATGGAGAAAAATTATGGGAATGAGTTTATTTTTGTTTTTTACACATGTTCATATATTATTACAGTATATCAAATGTTTTAATTTCATTCCTATTTTTTACCTATAATGAGGCAAAATTGTTTTGTACAGACAGGCAAAAAAGTGCATGGAAATTTGAAGCATCATTTTACAAAGGACACTTTTGATATGATACTTCAGTATTATATAATGTGATATGTATACCCATTGCTAGACAATGCGTGCAACACACATGAGGCCAACAGAATGGGAACAGTGTTTTCTTTGACTGTGAATGGGCTGTCACTATGCAACAGCGCTGGTGTGATATCACACAACAGTATTTCCCCATCACATGACATGTTTCCTACGTCATGTGCTGTGATGACATCATTGATGCTTGGATGACACAACAGTATCGTTGATCATGATGTTTCCATGGTGTCTGATTCGAAGCTACACCGAATGAAAATGCATAGTGGAATGGAGTACAGAAGAATACAGGAAGTTGGCCTGTGAGGATGTAAAATGTGATTGGAAGGTTTTATATGTAATATGTGATAGTGAGTTATGGCCGAGAAGTTAGCTATGAAGACTTAGTGTGTGACTCCAAGACTATGTGTGTGACGGTGCAGTAATACTGGGAGTGCAATTGGAAGATCTTAGGTGTAATACTTGTAATGATTTGAGTGCTAGTTTCTGTGCTGAGGTCCGTTACTAGAAGATGACTAGTAGAGACTGAAAATCCTAGTGCGTGCGCAACGGTGAACTGGAATGTGTGTAAATCAGCGATAGCTCTGTACTGCACATATTTAAGTGTGATTAAGAGAGAGTGTATGTAACAAAAGTGTTAATAAATCCAATCTTCCAAACTAGAACTTGTCATTTCATCATGCGTACCATCCTCACATGACAGTATTATTTAAAATGTCATGGATGAGATTGTTAAATAATATAGTGTCCTCAATCATTATGAATTTTCTGTTTTGTAAATTGATTATGCAGTTCCTTCATTAATATGAATTATCATAATGAACAGGTATATTTCATAAAATTTGAGCAGTCTAGATATGAAGAGTGTTATTGTATGGCAGTACTATACTAAATGGAAGCCATATGTGATGTAGTGTCATAGATATGCTATTGAACATTCTGTATATTGTGGCATATAAACCTGTTTCTAGGTAACGACTGTGAAATGGGCAACAGGACAACAGCAGTTGCTATGCAGCAGATTCTTAACAAGCAACAGTTGAACTACAATAGTATAGGAACTGTTGGAAACAGTGTTTTCTACTTAGTCCATCCAAAGTGGTTATATAATGAGGACACCAGTCGAGCTACAGCTAAAAGTCAGACTGTGAAGAGAAGACTAGTAGGTTTGTGTGAAATGGCCACCAGCCTGGGAGTTAGTCATTCAAAGCACTGAGAGAATTATAAGGGGGTCTCTGATGAGAAGACTTAGTTGGGGTATTAGTGCAGAAGCTGAAGAATCTCCAGTGTTAAAATTTGTTACCATGAAACATCTAGTGAAGACAGAGAAGACTTTATGTGTGCTTGCAGTTACAGTGATATTCAGAGTGTGTAATTCTGTGGAACTGTTATAATTTCTTGTAGTTATGATTGGTAAGTGGTCAATAAGTACAGTGTCCAATCAAAAACCCTGTTGAGAGTCACTCTAACATGAATTGAATTGAACTCTAATTGAAATGAATTGTCTGCATCACTCTCTGTGCACCAGTTACATCAAGTATATGTGAACAGGGATGGGGGTTTGGTGTTATGACCTGCATGCACACTTACCTCAGTTTGGTAACAGATGGCCTGGTGCATATTAGTGGATGATTAAATATTTGTTTGACATTATGACTGCTAGACAGATAAAATAAGCTTACTATAGTAAGTTTATGAGTAACATATTTATATAATATTATAAATTGATGGCTGATGGGATGAACACATAGTGAAAGAAGGAGCATGTTAGAATTCAAAGTTGAAGTGTCTGCAAGTTGGAAATAATGTAAAAAAATGGGAAAGATGGGACAATAAAATCTGACCTCTCAAGTCATCGCTGAAGATGAGGCATCCATCATGGAAATTCCACAAATATGGCTGGACACCTTGAGGAACAGGGATTTGCCATCATGTATATTTCTTGACCCATTTAGCATTTGTGTTTATGATTGACAAGGTCAAATTATGATTACAGTTGTGATTAACCTTTAAGAGACGGCCCTTTAAATTCCGGTAATGGCTGCAGGACGGATTTAATTTAAATACCCGCATTTATAAAGCAATAAAAACTGTAATCATTTACTAAAATTGCTGTGATTTCTACAATTTTTGTTCTAAACGAACCTAATAAACGCTGCTTTTTTCTAACAAGAATATAGAATCAGGTATTATAATTTACAGACTTTATAAAATGTGTAAAAATTTTTAGACTGATTCCAACTTAAATATTCCCCAATTTGTTGTCTCTCTGAAAGAATTCATACATTTCTTGCAAAGTATGAATGCTGCTGAAGTGGCAACACAGCAGATGCGCTAGCCGGGGTTTTGGCCTGCGTGTATCAGTGTATATCACGTACATTCTTACGGTATGCAGAGATGTGGGCCAGTATGTATTCATTCATAAGAACCCTGATTGTTTTTTATCGCTAATAGCTACACAATAAGTTCTCTGTTCTGAGTGCTGAGTTAGTTTTCATAGGAACTTTCAAGGCTACCGTCCTTATGCCACAGCCAAACAGTGTTATAACTTTCAAAGCTAGCATTCAGTGAAGTTGTCAGCCCACAGCATGGCGACGTCTCGTTTGGAAGACGCTGACATGTTTCAACTCATAAACGACTCCGAATCAGATTGTTGTACCGACAATTCTGAGACTGGCGTTGATGATTGTGAATCAGAAATTGATTTCGACGAAGAACTACCATCTTGTTGGGCAACCTGGGGACCACCACACCAGCATGGCAAGAGGAGTGTGAATAATTATTCAGGTGGAGCTGTGGGCAAACTGTGGTAAACAGTTATAGCATCTGTCTTCGAACCTGGAAATGGACAAATAAACTATTTTTCCATCTCCTGGAACTGAACAGTTACATCCTGTTGTCACACAGAGAATTTCGTCTCACTCTTGTGCGAAACATGCTGGAAGGGGTCCACCTCGCCATCAACGGCCCAGGGGTCGAACCCCTGCCGTTTTATCGGAGATATCTCGATTATAGGAGGCCATACCACATCACTGGCCGACTTCCTCTACTTCGCAATTGAGGTGTCGAGTGTGCTTTTCGCGTGGGAAACGAAAAACCGTCCGGACAAAGTGCGTGAAGTGCGACATCGGACTCTGGATTTCCGGGTGTTTCCAAGATTTCCACACGAAGCCAACATTCCGTTAGATGATGCAGGTGGGAAGAGAGACAACTTATAAAGCTGGTGTCCAAAAATCATGTAAGTAGAAAAAGAATATATAACTTAAAATTAGATTTTATAAAGCCGGTCGCACACGTGCACTGCGCGACGACATATGGCGTCATTTGTCCCCTTGACTTTATTTTAATGACGACATATGGCGTCGCTCGGCTCTTAAAGGTTAACAAGGATAGATATTTAATAAAGTTAGATCCATGATCATGAACTCTAAATTGTTCCGTTCCCATGGACAGTTGCATATCACTATTACCGATATGTCTTTCAGGTGATCAAATATGCATTTTGAGAGAGAAAACTTTACAGAGAATGTTTTATGCCATGAAGTTAATAATGTTATGTTATGAATAAAACATGACTTTCAGATTTATTTCTTTTCAGAATGTCCTGAGAGGTATCAGTAAAATATTGTCACATTTTTATTAACTATTGGTAATTGGATTTACTGAACTCTTACAGATCTGTGACTACAAGTAATTATAACCATTTTACTAACTCACATACTTTACAGTTCACTAGAACACACACTTAAGTCTCTCAGCCTGCTGTGTCTTCCACAGTCTTCTGGTAATGGTGTCTGATGGAAGACATTCCCATTCCTTTGGGTTCCTGAACAGTCCTTGGCCTCAGCAACCAGCAACAGCTCCCAATAACTGGACCACAGCAGTCTCCTCTAACTAACTCACTAGCTCACCAACCAATTCTTCACTCAATAACTTGTCCTCAGCACGGACTGCATAAGAAACACCATTCCTCTATTGCAGTGCAATTGTTGCATTTGTTCCTGTTTGTGGAGCTGTTGCATAGAAATGGGACTACATGCTATAATACATGCATACTGCCATTTCTTCTGTTCCCAGGGCTATGCATTTGTTATCTGTGATCAGCCTCTCCATCCTTCCCCGTGGCTTGGCCTTCAAGGTGATTACTCCACAACTTCTCCAGCTGCTCCCTCCTTAAAGCCACTCATCTCAAGAGGTTCCCTGATAAGGTGCAAGCCGGCTCACATGTACCACCATCATCTTCTTTCCCGAGGGCTGTGCTTCTGATGTCTTCCTTTCATTTTGGAGGATTTGTGACGGTGTATTAATACAGTTATTGTGTTCTTGGACATTATCCATGTAAAGTGAAGAGCAACTGTGATAGCTAAGTCATGGTTGGGCTTCACTTTATATTCATTTTCCAGAATAATGTATGTTCACTTTGATGAGTGGTCAAGTTCAAAGTTGGCAACATGTATGAATTATTCTTTGGTTTTTGCTGTTCAGTGTTTTGGGTAGGAGCGGGAAGAAAAATGGCTTCTTGTGAAGTGATGTGTGTTGGCGTGCTCTTAACTCTGATTACAAATATACTTTTACTGTGCAATAGTTAACGCTGCGTAATTATTAACCCAATTACCAACACACTTAACTCATTTATCTGCAGGAATTATAATGGGCCACAGAGGGCAAGTCCTGAGCACAAAGGCTCTAGTCAACGTAATTACAGCAGGGGACCCTATTCTCCAGGCTTTGAATTTGAGGATGACTCGCACTCAAAATACATGAGTGACCACAGTAGAAGCAAGATCATATATGAAAGAGACATGGAAGATTCTGAGGTAAAGCTGATTTCTTTCTGTTCTATATACCTATGAGTTTTCATGCATATTGTATTTGCTTTTAGAATCTTATTCATTTGAACTATTGTTGTGCTTGTTGGAAGTATGCATGTTCTAAATATGGTCCAGCCTAAAGGGATCAATTTAGTATTCTGTGTGTGCATGTGTATCTGGATTTGAAAAAAAAATTGTCAACCTTAAATCATTTAGAGTCTAAAAAAATGCTTATGAAAGAAATAAACGTTGAAAGTAGTCTTTTGAAGGCAAAGGTACACCTGTTGTAGGATTCAGAAGGCTATTTTAAGTACTGTACAGTTTAAGTACGTACAATAATCTCAAATATCAGTAGAGCCTAGTAATAAGATTATTTCATAGTCCTGTATATGAAAATTTATTTTGTACACACATGAAAGTGTGCACACACTTCTATGATAATATTTATCTGAGATATATGAGTACATTAAGTTGTGTCTCAGTTTTCTATCTGTAAGTCTGTTGAACACATCCTAATGTTTCCAAACTGTGAACTTTGAATGCTACAGTTCCTCATACAGCCATTTTGTTTTAAAGTCATCTATCTTATAGCAGTAATATCAACACAAATACAGAAATATACAGAATATACGTACCATTTATCATTATAACACAAGAGCACTGAAGATGCATTAGAACACTGAAGATATGTCAGAGTATATTTTGGGACCTATAATTGTCATTATTCTACCATAATCCTCATTACTTAGAGACATATTATTGCAAAAGGCATTTTTTTATGTTGAAGTGTGATTGTATTTTAATTATACTATCTATTGTGATATGCAACTCAGATTTATATACTCTCTATGATTTTTTCTTCTCAGTGTATAAGGAAATTCTTCTAAACTTCTAATCAATTTTTACTGACACTGAAACTATAAAAAGTGATGCATTTTAGCCTTTATCGGACAGACTTTTAAATTGCCTGGAGCCCTCTGAGGCCGGTATATGAATCGCCCCAATTAATCAACATTGCAAACTTTCAGAAAAAAATACATATTTTCCGTTCTATGCAACATAGAAATACGAACTAAAAACATCCTGAAAGACAGTCAAATTTTCTACAAATACACAAAATAGCAATTTTTACAAATGAAAGTTAACTGTGATTATTTTGTCATGAAATGCAAAATATAATCTTTATTAGATAGGTTATGAAATTCCAAAGGACTTACCGCTGTTTTTTCTTCAACCTTGAATCATGGTGATGTAACTATAATCACACTATGTGCAATAATATTTTGTTCAGACTGTACACGAGTTTGAACTGTGTCACTTCACATTTTACGATACTCACACACTCTGACGCACATGGAACTTCTTGAAGCAGTCCACCTCACACAGAGCAACATCACACTTTTTACAATAGAAGAACGTGCTCCTGCTTTTCTTATTTAGCGAAACACACGTCTTTGTATCCCTTTGGTTGGCCAATGTTGTGAATGTTTCACCTCCAGTTGACTCAGTTGGGCCCCAGATAACCCTGGCCTCCCCCAAGAAACGCCACTGACTGTGATATTCAACTTTGAGACTTGGTGATATTGTAAATATAATCACACTATATACAATAATATTACTGTATGCGAGTTTGTTGAACTGCATCACTTCACAGTCACTTCACTATCATACTCACACTGACATGCGTGGCACTTCTCGAAGCAGTCCACCTCACACAGAGCAACATCACACTTTTTACAATAGAAGAGTGTGCTCCTGCTTTTCTTATTTAGTGAAACACACAACGCCTTTGTATCCGTTTGGATGGCCGTGTTGTGAATGTTTCACCTCCAGTTGACTCAGTTGGGATCCAGATAACCTTGGCCTCCCCGAGAAACGCCACTGACCATGATATTCGCCTTGTGCGACTGAAGAATCATCTTGGGGGAGGGGGGTTTCCAGCAAAATCTAATAAAATATGTTGATTGACAAAGTGACAATCTCACCTGTTAGTAATACTCTCAAAATAGTGATGCAAAGTAATTATAATACTAGTCAAAAAGAGTGCCAGCCCGACACTAATAACGAAAGTTGCGGTGGTGAAGATGCCTTTTACTCACAAAGTGATACTGGCTCAGTGGGTTTATACCTCTTCCAAGACACAAAATAAAAATGATATATAAAGAAATATTAGACAATCCGACACTGACTTCCTGACTGATAATTCGCCACTGAAAACCAATCCTTGAATGCGTCAGACTTCCTTGAAGGCTCTGGAAGCACTCACATGCAAGCACCAATGAATATTTTCTCATCAGTTCTCAAAACAAAGCTGGGCTCTATTTGGCTGACCAGGTCATACACAGTCATACCTAAACAGAAATAGAATTGAAACCAGTACCTTTATAAACGATTCCATTNAATGGAATATTTTCAAAAAATTAGTTACTTGAAGTGGGATCCTACCCCTTGGAACAGAAGAATGTTTTAGTAGCAACCAAGATAGACACATCAGAAGAGTGGATAGGCCTTATTTTGTAATACCTGTAAGCATGCCTCATGGATCTGATACCAGGAAGCACTGTACTGATCATAATGATTCATATTCGTATGTGAAATTGGTATTATTAATGATTGTAGCTGTTGCGAAGTGAATTTCGACGTCCACGAGATATCCTGTTGTCCATGGTAGCTGAATTTCTCACGAAGTGCACTCTTCGGCTGAATGAGATCAACAAGAAATCAGGCCAGGATAACAAGACTATTGAGCTTTTGGACACCAGGGCACATGTGGTATGTATCTTCACCTGAGTTACTTATCGTAAATTACCTGCCTCGATTTCAGAGGACTCTGGATTCAGCTGTAGACCCTGCACTCACTGATTTTCCAGTTTCTTGTTATCTTAAAGTTTCTGTTAGCTGCTTCCTTTTAAATCCTTTCTGTAGTGAGTTTTTATCAAGACACATTCTTTTCTGTTTCATAATATTTTAGTGTCCTGTATTGTAGAAGGGCCATTTGTAGCTTTTAATTCTTAAAAAATGTTAGCAGTTTCCCTCATTGAGCATTTCAAACATGGAACAGATTGAGACCATAAGAGTCAGTATTTCAGGGCATGGCATCTAATACAAAGTACTGGAAGGGTTAAGGCCTTCTCCACTTATCATAATTGTGATAACAGTGATGCTGTCTCAAAGTAGAAATATTTTCTTACTCTGATTCCCGCCTCTGCTATCCATCAGTCTTGAGTAGGCTAGAAGGGTCAACACCGACCATAACCAGAGGTTCTACACTAGTTCTTTTCAAACTTTTTCATCTGTGGAACACTTTCTCAGGCTGAAATATTTCACAGCGCCCAACCATTTTTTGAAATTTGTAATATAAGAACAAAGGGGTGCTCATATTTTTTGCTTTTGTTTCCGTACAAATATAATAACGTCAGTATTTTACTAGAGGTTTAATCGGTCATTAAAGAAGTAAAAATAATTTAATGTTAATTTCTCAGTGTGATGGCTGAGGTGGTTTTGAGCAACACTTCAATTTGAAATCTGGTAGAATGTGTCACAGTTGCAGTCTGAGATCTGCCACAATGTCTAGCTTATTTCTGTATTTATTTTTGTCATTCTATGTCATGGAAAACCAAATTCATGAAGGTAAGTTGTTGAAAACTTTAGCCATTTTCTAACAGCCTGCTTTCATATCTGAGGATGCTGTTCAGTTAAGCTGGTCTGAAAACTTGAAAGAAAAATAGTGTGAATACTGTTACTTCAAAGCCAAATCACTCAAATATCTATCAACATTTACAAGTGATTGGAGTGTTTGAGATGCGGGTTTGGATTGGTAATTGCATTTATTAAAACCTACAGGTCGTAACTACAAATAATTATTACACTCTTGCTAATTTACACAATTTACGATCACTCCACACTAATCTTCTGTCTTTTTCCACTAGTCTTCACAGATTTATAATGCAGGGACTATAGAAGTGTCCCTAAATCACACACTCCCAATACCACTGCACTATAGCACACATAAAATCTTCAGATCACATTTGAGGTATTCACAGGCTCACCTGTTGTACTCTTCTGTACTCCTAGTTCTGATTTGCTCTCTCCTTGCTTGCTTGCTTGTTCGCATGCTTTTGTCCCTGTTATTCACTCATAACTGCCCTGAAGTTAACACATTGAGGACAGGTCGCATGATATCATGCTTTTGGCTTTTAAACGTGGCGGACCAGTTGCATGATATCATGATTTTTAGGACACATTAGGTTGTAACACACTATACCTTTCTCTGGCGCCACCCAAGTTGCACACAGTGGCATAATAAAACTCTGGAATGTTTGCTTACTTGTCAGTAACTTGACCTCGCTGTGTTCTTAACCAACTATAAACAAAAATGCTTTGCTGCTCTTTGAGCTGTGTGTATCAGCCAGTAGTTAGTGGTGGGGTATGGACAAGGAGAAATTCTTCTCTGATGAGCTAGCTGGCCTGCCTTGTGAGACGTGTAGTCATGGTGATTCAGAGAGCAGCAGTGACAGGGGAGAACAAAGAATTCTGGTCACAGACAGTAAAAGTGACAGTAGCTCCGATGATAATGGGGGTAATAACATTGCAGGGACAGTAAAAAATCTAAAGAAATCACAAAAATCTAAACCCTGATTCGAAATTGAAATACAAAGCATTTCTGATGAATGTGGCCAAGGCCTGGGCTACAGGCCAGATGGTGGCAGCAGAACCAGAGTCAGACACAGACTTAGTGCGACCAGGGCCATCAACTCCCACCCCATGCAGGCCTCATGTGGACCCCCCAGGACGACTTTTAGGTGATATGCAGAAACCTACCCTCGTGAAAATTGTGAAGAGTGAACATTCCAAGGGGAAGCTTCCTTCTAGGCAATGCTGTGTTTGCACAGTTCACAAAAAAAAAAGAGTATGTCTACATTTGCAAGTTCTGTGTAATGCCACTTCACAAAGGGGAATGTTTCCAGAAATATCACACCCTCAAGCACTTCTAGGAGCACTGGTAAGTGTTTGCCAAAAATTTTAGTTAATAAAATTAATTAGGAGATTTTATATTAATTTTTAAAGTGAACAGTACAAGTGTTATGATAGTGGGTATAATAATGGCAGCCCCAGGCTGATTTAAATATTTAAATCACCGATCCTCAATGTGTTAACTGGCATCTGAATTTACTACTCTTATAAGCACTCTGCACAGATCACACACACAGAAAACACAATTCTATTGTTGCATAAGACAGATCACACAGAGAACAAGCCGCGTGATTCCTAGGCAATGTCTTCATTGGTGTGCTGTTGGCCAGCAACGGGCAATAACATTCTTCCACTGAGACATATCTTCCATTGTTGCACGTTGACTGTGTTTACAGACCTGTAGCCTGGCAGCGTACCGATCAAATCTCTTACTTTATTCCTTGACTGTGAAATAATCTATCTGTAATGAATTGATGAAATGCCTTTGCAACCAGTTATTGTCATTGTTGTTTGGTGACAAATATAAGTCAAATGAGTTTTTTAATTTTCTGAGGTGCTCAGTTATGTCATGCTTTACACTTTCTGATTTTACCCAATTCTGTCATATTCATGATATCAAAGCAGTCACACCTTTTTGTTGCACACATTGGTGCTTAGATTTAATTTTTAATTTTGTTGAAACCACTTCATCCACAGCTGGGAGCATATTTGTGCTGCATTCCTAAGCTGACAGTTGAACTAGTTCAACTTACTGAAAATATACAAGGTGTGGCAATAAAGAACCCGGATTACTTTTATGACTCATTTCCGGCCACGTCATTGACGAAGAGGAGGGTAGGGCATTGACCCTTGGACTTCCCTCTACCGTCACACAAAGTTTCATTCACGTGCATCGGTTAGTCTGGCCGCGACCATTGTTAGAAGCGGATCGTGTTTCTGAGCTCCGTCGGAATAATGCTGAGTGCTAATGCAGAACAACGTGCTAACATCAAATTCCTCACAAAACTTGGAAAATCTGCCACTGAAACTTACAATTTGTTGACAGAAGTATATGGTGATCAGTGTCTATCTCGCACGCAAGTTTTCGAGTGGTTTAAGAAGTTTATGGAGGGTAGGAAAAACGTCGGGAACGATCCAAA